AGATCAGGTTAAACTAAATGTAACTTAGAAATGTTGCTTTAGAAACTAGCTAAAATAAAATAATTATTTTAATAAATAAAATAACATTTTAAAGTATTTGTTATTTCAAGTAACAATTTTGTTTTTGTTTTGAACTATAATAACTATAATAAAAACAATTAATAACTCTGCTGTTTTTTATATTTTATTTCAGTTTAAGTTTATTTTATTTCAAGTAACAAATGTTTTTAGTATTTAACTAAAATTACTATAATAAAAAAACTATAATAACTCTGCTGTGTTTAAAAAAAATATTTTTTATTTCAGTCAATATTTATTTTATTTCAAGTAATGAAAATGTTTTTTTTAAAACTATACTAACTAAAACAAAAACAAAACTTTAATAACCCTGCAGTTTTTTATATTTAATTTAATTTTAAGTTTAAGTTTGTTATTTCAAGTTACAAAAATGTTTTTTGATGGTTTTTAAGTAAATAATAACTATAGTAAAACATAAAAATAACCCCGGTGTTTTTTAATTAAATTTTATTTCAGTTAAAGTTTATTTTATTTCAAGTAACGAAAAACTTTTGATGGTTTTAACTATAATAAAGAAAAAATATAATACCACTTTTTTTTCCGTATATTTACGTATTTGTATTTAAGTTTATTTCATTTCAACTAACGAAAATGTTTTTTAGTGTACTATATTGACCGTGTTGTGAACCATTTATATCTTTTTTCGCTCAGAAATATGTCACGTAATGGGTGTAAAGTGGGATGTGAATGCGGTCTGATGTTGACTTTGAACATGTAGTCCACTGGTTCTGGATTGTCTCTCTCTCTTTCACAGATGTCTTGCTGTTTGTGAGCCACCCAGTCCCAGTGGAGGTTACGCTGGGCTCGATGGCCAGATTCTCCTGCGCTGTCAGCGGATCCCCAGCGCTCATCCGCTGGGAACGCAACCAAAGATCTCTACCTCTGGATTCAGACAGGTGCGCTATTAACCAATAACACAACAGGATCTTTCTAAATATTAATATTAAATATTTCATAGTAGCCTGTTAACCATCATTATTTCAATAGCAGGAACTTTAGGTATCATTTGAAATTCTCAAAAGTCATCATGAAAGCCGTTTTAAAAATGGACGTTTTGTCACCATGAAAATGCTACTTTAAAACCATTTACCAGCTCAATTTTTGTGATATCAGCTTCAAATTTGGAACATAACTTGGTTGGACATATGGCTTTGATTCCACCAATTTAAGAGTCCTCATTATTTTGTAATTTTGTACAAAATAAAATTGTTTAGTTTAACAGTAAACATAAACTTGTAAACTTTTTTACTTTTTTACAATGATGACTTTTGAGAAATTAAATTAAAATTAATATTATTATTAAATATATTTTATATAAATATATTGAATTGAATCTACTGGATTAAAGTGGTCAAGCTTCTTGTTCTTTTTCTTTTGTGAAAAAATAGTAACCTAAAAATGGTAACATTTAAATTAACTAGTTCAACTTATTCAAGTCTATAAGTTTTCTTTAAGTTATCACTGAATAAACCTAAATACATTCATTTATACCAACAAAATACATTTTTATGGGTTAAATCAGGTTGAAATTGCACTGATTAAAGGTATACCTCGAATGCATTGTAAGTTGCTTTGGATAAAAACATCTGCTAAATGGATAAATGTACATTTTGTACCAGCTAATGACTAAATGAGCAGCTTGGACTGGATAGAAACCATGTAAAACCAGCTACCAAGCTGGTTCAGCTGGTATAGTTACAGTGTAGCTATGTTGTAAGAGTGAAATGTATCGTTCTTAATGTGAATGCTAATATAGTTGAAGACTGAAAGCCCTCGGGTTGAGTTACTCATTAAACATGTTTGTGTTTGTTTCAGAATCACCGTTTTGCCAAATGGAGTGCTGCATATCCGCGACGTGACAATGAAGGATGCTGGGAATTATCGCTGCTTTGCAACAAACACGGCCAGTCGAGTCACGAGCCGAGAAGCCGAGCTGTCCATCATCCCAGGTCTGTGTTTGAGTGAGGACGAACAGTGATCATTATCAGAGGAATAAAGAAAGCATTATAATATTCTGCGTTCTCTGTCCAGCGTCGGGTCCCAGGCCTCTCATGAAACCACACATCATCGCTGGACCTCAGAACATCAGCGCCGGTCTGCATCAGTCTGTGGTTCTGGAGTGTTTGGCGGAGGGAAACCCTCGGCCGCTGGTGTCCTGGAGCCGGGCCGACTCGAAACCCATAGACGTGTTCGGAGCCAGGGTTCTGGGAAACGGGAACCTGGTTATCTCAGCCGTTAAAGCCCAGCACAGTGGCACGTACCTGTGCCGCGCGACGACACCAGGAACACGCAACTACACCATAGCGGCCGGGAACCTCACCGTACTCGGTAAGAGATGTTTGACGGAACGGTTGCAGCATAAACACTTCACATCAAGAACTATAACTGTAACAATATCTATATTAACATTCAAACCAAGAACAATAACTATAACAATTACCATATTTGTTAATGTTACCGTTCTTTGCGTGAACGCTAATATAGTTATCATTAAAGTTATCGTTCTTAGTGTGAATGCTAATATAGTTATCGTTAAACTTATTGTTCTTCGTATAACTTTAACGATAACTATATACGCATTCGCACCAAGAACAATAACTTTAACTATATTTGCGTTCACACTAAGAACGATAACTTTAACAATAAATATTTTAGCGTCCTCACCAAGAACAATACATTTAACGAAAATTATATTAGCATTCATAGCAAGAACGATAACTATAACTATATTAGCGTTCACACCAAGAACGATAACTTTAACAATAAGTATATTAGCATTCAAACTAAGAACGACAACTTTAACAATAAATATTTTAGTGTTCTCACCAAGAACAATACATTTAACGGTAATTATATTAGCGTTCACAGCAAGAACGATAACTATAACCATATTAGTGCTCACACCAAGAACGTTAACTATAACAATAACTATATTAACTTTCTCACCAAAAACGATAATTATATACATGTTCAAACAAAGAACAATTACATTGGTGATAACTATATTAACGTTCAAACCAAGAATGACAACTTTAACAATAACTGTATTAACATTCACACCAAGAGCGATAACATTAACGATAACTATATTAGCATTCACACCAAGAACAATAACTATATTAGCATTCACACCAAGAACAATAACTATATTATCATTCACACCAAGAAGAATAACTATATAAGCATTCACATTAAGAACGACTAATTAACGCTAACTATATTAGCATTTACACCAAGAACAATAATTATATTAACATTCACATTAAGAACGATAACATTAACGATAACTATATTTGCATTCACACCAAGAACAATAACTATATTATCATTCACACCAAGAACAATAACTATATTAGCATTCATACCAAGAACAATAACTATATAAGCATTCACATTAAGAACGACTAATTAACGCTAACTATATTAGCATTTACACCAAGAACAATAATTATATTAACATTCACATTAAGAACGATAACATTAACGATAACTATATTTGCATTCACACCAAGAACAATAACTATATTAGCATTCACATTAAGAACGATAATATTAACGCTAACTATATTAGCATTCACATTAAGAACGATAACATTAACGATAACTATATTTGCATTCACACCAAGAACAATAACTATATTAGCATTCACATTAAGAACGATAACATTAACGATAACTATATTAGCATTCACACCAAGAACAATAACTATATTATCATTCACACCAAGAACAATAACTATATTAACATTCACATTAAGAACGACTAATTAACGCTAACTATATTAGCATTTACACCAAGAACAATAACTATATTAACATTCACATTAAGAACGATAACATTAACGATAACTATATTTGCATTCACACCAAGAACAATAACTATATTATCATTCACACCAAGAACAATAACTATATTAGCATTCATACCAAGAACAATAACTATATAAGCATTCACATTAAGAACGACTAATTAACGCTAACTATATTAGCATTTACACCAAGAACAATAATTATATTAACATTCACATTAAGAACGATAACATTAACGATAACTATATTTGCATTCACACCAAGAACAATAACTATATTAGCATTCACATTAAGAACGATAATATTAACGCTAACTATATTAGCATTCACATTAAAAACGATAACATTAACGATAACTATATTTGCATTCACACCAAGAACAATAACTATATAAGCATTCACATTAAGAACGACTAATTAACGCTAACTATATTAGCATTTACACCAAGAACAATAACTATATTAACATTCACATTAAGAACGATAACATTAACGATAACTATATTAGCATTTACACCAAGAACAATAACTATATTAACATTCACATTAAGAACGATAACATTAACGATAACTATATTAGCATTTACACCAAGAACAATAACTATATTAGCATTCACATTAAGAACGATAATATTAACGATAACTATATTAGCATTTACACCAAGAACAATAACTATATTAGCATTCACATTAAGAACGATAACATTAACGATAGCTATATTAGCATTTACACCAAGAACAATAACTATATTAGCATTCACATTAAGAACGATAATATTAACGATAACTATATTAGCATTTACACCAAGAACAATAACTATATTAGCATTCACATTAAGAACGATAATATTAACGATAACTATATTAGCATTTACACCAAGAACAATAACTATATTAGCATCCACATTAAGAACGATAACATTAACGATAGCTATATTAGCATTTACACCAAGAACAATAACTATATTATCATTCACACCAAGAACAATAACTATATTAGCATTCACATTAAGAACGACTAATTAACGCTAACTATATTAGCATTTACACCAAGAACAATAACTATATTAACATTCACATTAAGAACGATAACATTAACGATAGTCTCAGCCTCAGACGTCACGCCCACGGAACGTTGGCTAAACGTCTGATGCATATGGTACACTTAACTGGAAACACTTCAGGAATGTCGAAGTCGTCATCTGATTGGTTGAATTTTATCGGATTTCCGGGGGGTGCGAGTGTCGCGTTTATTTTCGGTCTGCCGGGAAACAAAGCGCAGACGTGTGATTGCGGAAGAAAAACTGTTGTGTTTACATGAGTGACAATGAGCATTTATCAAGATCAGCTAAACGTAGGATTCTCAAAAGTATGCGAGGTTCACGGCGTAGACTCTTTAAGAGATGTCCAGGAGTTTTGTTTGAGGCACTTAGTGGAGACAAAAAGAAATATTTTAGCCTGTTTGCCGACGGGATTTGGGAAGAGTATTATTTTCCAAGCCTGGCCGACCCTTTGTCAGCATTTATAAGGATTCCCAGCAGATCCAACTTTACTAGTTGTGTGTCCCCTCCTATCTATTACATAGCTGTCAACCCTCCCGTTTTTTCCGGGTTTCTCACGTATTTTAGCTCTTTTCCCGCTGTCTTCCCGTTTTATTATTTTCCCGTAAAATATCCCGTATTTTTACGCTCTGATTGTGTGAAACGCACATGCTCGGGCAGATTCGGCTTGAAGTCGTTCATCCTCGGATGCGGCGCCGCGCGCGCTGTTACAAAAAAAGCTGTGCACACAGCCAAGCGAAATGGGGTCTTGCCGGTCTTGCGCACCCAACGCGTAATCTTTGCCGCGCTCGTGCGGACGCGTCAAGTATAAACAATTATACTCCGTGTCAGCGCGCGCTTTGATCGGTAAAGGAGCACAGACCTCTCCCTAATCATCTCCAGCAGCCCCCGAAGCACCACGTACCGTTTCCCTCGTAAACTGATATTAGTATTTAAACATTCTCTGATAAAAAATGTTTAAAAAATGACACACTTTCTCTAATACACACACACACTGTCTCTTTCTCTCTTACTCATTTGTAGTTATAAACTCTTTAGACTTTTAATGATTAGTGCTTTATTTTTAAAGTTTGTGGTGGGTAAGAATCGTGTAAAAAAATTCCCTTATTTTGGGGATGGATTCCGGGAAATCTCCCTTATATTCAATGTTCAATGTTGACAGCTATGATCTATTATGGAAGATCAAGTGAAATACCTAACTGTGAAGGGGATATCAGCCGCGTTTGCGGGCAAACATGAAACAACAGACGCTGACATCGCAGCTGGCCGATTCAGTATTGTGTTCGGTTTTCTTCTCCTCCTTTGATTTTCTATGCTGACTGACTTGTTGCACGCCGGTCTGTTGTTGTGGGGACATTTCCACGTGACGCTGAACGAAACGAACTGTAATTGGTTGTTTGACATGTCGGTCAAACGGCCTTATGGGCGGGCCTTGGCCAAAGAAAGCTGCTATGAGTTCCAGACAAGGGGGTAATCCATCGACCGGAAGTTGAAGCCGGCCGGGTGCCGCCATGTTGTAGCAGAACTTCACTTGCGTTAGCATTTCCATTGACTCCCATTCATTTTGGCGTCACTTTGACAGCGAATAACTTTACATCTGAGGCGTTTAAAGACTCCATTTGTCCATTATTTATTTCTAAAGAAACACGACAATGTATAAAGGGCTCCATTACCTTCTATGTTACATTATGGCCCCGTAGCAACAGATTTAGTAAAAATAGGCTAACGATTGCGTCATAACCACTCGCCTCTCTGTCGCGCTGTACAGAAATTACCGTACAGACAGGAGGAGAAGCTCGCAGGCAATCGGGGGGACGTCCCGTCAAGGGAGAAGCCCATAGATATTGAGTCCATAAAAGCAACGCAATACTTCCTACTGCTCACTCACGCCAAAGAACTCTTTGCTCAAGGTCCCCGTCTCTGCAAGATTAACATTGGCAATTTTCACGCACAGCTACTAGAAGATTAACGTCTGTCAGACAGGTTGCTCACGTCATCAAGCTTAGTTTGAGTCGGTTTGAGTCTGCGCGTCAGGAACGGAAGTGCTCAAAAATCGCTAAAAATGGGCTTCAACTGTCTCAACTGAGTTCCAATGAGATGGCTCTGTCCACTTCTTATACTGTCTATGGTTCCAGACCTTCAGCCGTCAGTCTGAAGGTCTGGCTACGCGAGACTACATTAACGATAACTATATTAGCATTTACACCAAGAACAATAACTATATTAGCATTCACATTAAGAACGATAATATTAACGATAACTATATTTGCATTCACACCAAGAACAATAACTATATTATCATTCACACCAAGAACAATAACTATATTAGCATTCACATTAAGAACGACTAATTAACGCTAACTATATTAGCATTTACACCAAGAACAATAACTATATTAACATTCACATTAAGAACGATAACATTAACGATAACTATATTAGCATTTACACCAAGAACAATAACTATATTAACATTCACATTAAGAACGATAACATTAACGATAACTATATTAGCATTTACACCAAGAACAATAACTATATTAACATTCACATTAAGAACGATAACATTAACGATAACTATATTAGCATTTACACCAAGAACAATAACTATATTAGCATTCACATTAAGAACGATAATATTAACGATAACTATATTAGCATTTACACCAAGAACAATAACTATATTAGCATCCACATTAAGAACGATAACATTAACGATAACTATATTAGCATTTACACCAAGAGCGGTAACTGTAACGAAACCTATATTAGCATTCACACCAAGAACAATAACTATATTAGCATTCACATTAAGAACGATAACATTAACGATAACTATATTAGCATTCACACCAAGAACGATAACTAAAACTAAATTAGTGTCCACACCAACAGACGATATCATTCTGTTTATTATAAGCGCACTGCAGTTATATTGTGTTATATTAAATGTTTTAAAGCAGCTTTAAAGAAGGATGGATTCTGATTGGCTGTCAGTGTTTTTATTGTTCATCAGCTGATTCCAACGATAGCATTCCTTTGTCCTTATCATTTTAGTTCTAGTCAAGTCAAGTCACCTTTATTTATATAGCGCTTTTTACAACACAGCAGAGATGGGACCAAGTCACACATGTGCAAGTCTCAAGTAAGTCTCAAGTCTTAACCTTCAAGTCTCAAGTAAGTCCCAAGTATTTTTTTCCTGGGCAAGTCAAGTCAAGTCAAGTCACAGGCTATGTCAAGTCAAGTCAAGTCAAGTCTTGTAGTAGGTCAAGTCAAGTCCAAGTCAAGTCACCTTATTATTGTAATTTTACCTGCAGAGTTTGATCTATGGGCGTCAGTTTGGTTTGAAATGAACAGAGGCGCATTCGGAAGTGCATTTGGGAACAATGACGCATTCATTCACTTTTTTCTTTCACGCAGGTCATGTTTTGAAAGATGGTGTCCTGTAGCTTACTAATTTAAAGAAATAAAAATGTATACAAAAATGTGATGTCCGACTTCTTTTATGAAGAAGAAAGCCTTAAAGGGGTCATATAATGGTACATGCACTTTTACAAGTTGATTGTACTGAAATGTGTGTTGGCAGTGCCTGTACACAACCATCATATAATGATAAAAATCCATCCAGTGGTTTTGTTTTAATCTCCTTATATGTTTTCCCCTGCCTCAAATCGAGCCGTTCGAGCCTGTGACGTCACAGGCTCGGAAGCCCCTCCCACGATTGTTGAATGACAGCCGCGTTTCAACACAGACCCGCCCTCGCTCGTGAGAGCGAGCTGTCAATCATAGTCTGCGCGGACCGGCGCGGTCATTGTTGATATGCTGGAGCACTGTCTATGAGCAGAATGGCATCTAAGCGATTGTGGTGTTCTGTTCTTGGGTGTAATAACGAACACAGTCATTTTAATGTTCCTAAATCCGAACCGCTGAAGACGCAGTGGCTGAGTTTGTTTTCGAAGGGAATATTCCCCACGAGCAACGTCAATGCTCTCATGTTTGCCCGAATCATTTCACACACCAGACTGCTTTATAAACGAGGGTGAGTATAAAGCTGGATTTGCTAAGTAGCTGCTCATGAAAAAAGATTGGTACCAGATATTCGTGTTCCTGCTGAATCTCCAGAAGAACTGAAGTGAGTGTAACGTTTTATTCAACTTTATATTAATATTTATATCTTTGCTAATCGCTAGCTGCACACTTCACAATGAATGCGTCTAAGGTTTACACTCAGGGTACATTACGGCATGTTTTCTATGTATGACGTTCTCAATATAATTCATAATTCCACGTTTATACTGAACAACGCGTTATGGTTATTGTGTTATTGTGTTACAAACGGTGTACGCACAGAACAGAGGGGCGGGGTGAGCAAATTATCATTTAAAGTCATATGCACTGAAACGGCGTGCTGAAAACAGAGCTGTTTTTGACCAAGTAAAATAAGTGTTTTCTTACAATACTAATGAGAATTTTTAATTAAAGTATATTACAAACTTTTAATTTAGACCCCAAAGAATCATATTAGCTTGTACAAAAATGGCATTATATGCCCCTTTTAAGTTTTCAAAAAGCATTAGACATATGACCCACTATTCTGCTTCGTGTAAGTTATTTATCAATGAATTCAAACGCGTTGGCTGGCGCTGAGCCAGAGACATACGCTCTCAGTGCTGTCATATATCACAACTGTTCAGTGTTTTCAACCACATCATTTTTATTTTAGGTTTCAGACATTTAAATACACATAACTACTAGCAAAAAATATATTTGTAGTTTGTAAAATATACACTGATGTCTATGGAAGCGTCAATAATAATCATTTCCATTATAATAAGACGCACGTTTTATTCATATCAGATACACATTGTGTAAGTAGCTTTACATTTTACCCTATTCTTCTCCCAGTTCACCGGTCACTTACTTTCATGTATTTCGTGAGAAGTTGAGAAATTGACGTGTTGTAAACTAACGTTAACATGGCACCGCCCATTCGCACATACAGCTCAACTAACGCGATCATTATAAAGGTGTTTAAACAACAAAACACATCCACTTACACATATTTGACAATCGGAATATCAGTGTTGCATGTTATAGCTAATACATTTGTGAACATTTTGAATAAAACAGGAAAAATGACATAAAAGCAGATCATTCATTCAGCGCTGTGTTGTGGTTGCGCTGTGTCACGTGACAAGCAATGACGCGTCACCATGAAACATTAAAGTGAGTGACAGGTTCTAAATAACGGTCGCCTAGAAAAACTCACGCTGGGGGATCAGTTAGAATAGTTTAAACTTACTTGTGAAAGGGTTAATGGCTACTTTAGCTATTACATTAGCTAACTACCAACTAACATTAACAAATTGACAAGCACTTACTGGGCAGAATGGCTCTTCAAATGACGGACGAAATTGGAGATTGTCGTCTAGCTGTCCGCAATGTTAATGTTGTAGCCTATGTCTTGCAAAGCGCTGTTCGTCTTTTGCCATCGTGTGAATAATTCTTGAAGCCGAAAGCAATGACCCTCGGTACCCCTCCGGCTGACATTTTGATGTGATATCTGATCTAAGTGGGCGTGGTGTGCGTAAGGTACGAGGTATGACTGATGGTAGTGTCGTGATCAACTTTAAAACATTTTTTTATATATATTTTATATTCAAACTGAAAACATGATGTGATTAACACTCCAGTCATTCAAGTCATCGTGTCTCAAGTCAAGTCAAGTCCCGAGTCTTTAACTTCCAAGTCCGAGTCAAGTCTCAAGTATTTCATTTTATGTCAAGTCAAGTCACAAGTCATAAAAATAGCGACTCGAGTCGACTCGAGTCCAAGTCACCAAGTCACAAGTCCCCATGTCTGCAACACAGAGTGTTTCAAAGTAGCTTTACAGAGATTAAATAATGTTAATGTCCAGAAGAAAATAGCGTCACAGTCCAGCCTAAGTAAGTTCAGTGATGGTTCATTTTTGTTGTAAAAAAGTTATTAATTTAGTTCATTTATATATATATAGCCGTTCTGGAGAAAACCGTGATGTCATCGTCCAGCTCTGTCCAGTTCTCATATAATGGTGTCAATGCAGGAGATCAATAATATTGTTGAATATTAAATTATATATAATATTGAATATTAAATTGGTCTGGACTTTGCTATTCTCTTAGGCCATGTGTCCACCAAAGCGTTTTTCAATGAGAGCGTTTTTACTGGTCGCCGAGAGTTGAAGAAAGTTCAACTTTGGATAAAACGCAGCGCTCATCACTGTCACTTTCTACCCAGCCGTCCAATCACAGTGGAGGAGGGGCGGGGCTAATACCACACCGACCAACTGTCACAACATTCTTTCTGTACAACGACATCAACCAGCAGAGCTAACCGAACAACATGGATGAAAATAAGATTTTAGTATGAAACAAATTATCTGCGAAATCAGTTACAAGTAAACTGTGCTGCGGATATTTTGTATCATAGCAACGAAACGTCTCAACGGAAAAAACGCTGCGCTGCCAAAACGCTCTCAAGCGCCCACAGCTAGACGTCTTCAGCAGAGCGTCTAGCATTTTCAGCTGGCTAAAAACGCTTTGGTGGACACACGGCCTTACTGTTGAATGATTATTAAAACTTTATAGTCATCATTATTGTTCATTATGTGTTCTCACAGTTTTGACTCATTATTTTGCAGTTCCTCCTTCTCTGTTGGAGAGACCGGAGAGTCAGACGCGACCCAGAGCCGGTACGGCCCGGTTCAGCTGCCGGGCTGAAGGCACACCCGCGCCACACATCACCTGGTTCAAGAACGGCCAGGTGATCCACTCCAACGGCCGCACCAAGATGTACAACAGGTACCGCTGTGGTCTCTCTCTTTTGTGAAAAATCACCTCAGGATCTTTGATGCCAGAATTATTAGACTTTATTTTACAACAAGCCGAGCATCTTCTGCACACTGCTTTTCTTATTCAGTATTTTCTGTCTTGTTTCCAGTCCAAATATCTAAAAATTCTTTAATCAAGATGCATTTACTAAAGTAGTAAAATGCCATAAGAAATGATATCTTGTTTTCTGGAAAAATATCAAAATGAAGTGAGTTTTTGCTTAAAACAAGCAAAATGATCTGCCAATGGGGTCAGAAAAATTATCTTAATTCAAACAGAAACAATATTATTTTTCTGACCCCATTGGCAGATAATTTTGCTTGTTTTAACTCACTTCATTTTGATTTTTCCCCCAGAAAACCAGACATATCTTATCTCACTTTACTCATCTAGTAAATGCATCTTGATTTAAGAATTTTTAGATATTTGGACTGGAAATAACAAGACAAAATTCTAATTAAAAAGGCATTTTTTGCAGTGTATAGACAAACATCGTAATCTCTTCTGATAATGAGCTCTTTCTCTTCGTCAGTAAACTGGTGATAACTCAGATCATCCCGGAAGACGACGCCTTTTACCAGTGCCAGGCGGAGAACTCCCAAGGCTCGGTTGTGTCCACGTCCCGTCTCATCGTGGTTCTGTCGGAGGACCGTCCCAGCGCTCCACGAAATGTCCACGCGGAAACCATCTCCAGCTCGGCCATCTTACTGGCGTGGGAGAGACCCCAGTACAACGCGGATAAAGTCATCGCTTACTCCATACACTACATGAAGTCTGAGGGTGAGCGTGTGAATGAAGCATGAAGCTGGTTCGTGCTGGTCTTGCTATTGCCGTCTTTCGTCCAGATGTTGCCGCTTAAAGTCAGACTGAAATTAAATTAAATTTTCTAAATGGATGTTATAGATGTGAACAATTCATCCGTGCATGTGTTTTTCTGACCTTGTAGTGTTTAATCAAAATGTATGGAAGCTTGTTTCTGCCACAGAATAAAAAATAAAAAAGATAATTGCGACTTTTTAATCTCGCAATTCGGCCTTTTTATATCAGAATTGCGTGATATAAAGTCGCAATTGTGTGTTATAATGTCAGAATTGCGTTATATAAAGTCGCAATTGCGAGTTATAATGTCAGAATTGCGTTATATAAAGTCGCAATTGTGTGTTATAATGTCAGAATTGCGTGATATAAAGTCGCAATTGTGTGTTATAATGTCAGAATTGCGTGATATAAAGTCGCAATTGTGTGTTATAATGTCAGAATTGCGTGATATAAAGTAGCAATTGTGTGCTATAATGTCAGAATTGCGTGATATAAAGTCGCAATTGTGTGTTATAATGTCAGAATTGCGTGATATAAAGTCGCAATTGTGTGTTATAATGTCAGAATTGCGTGATATAAAGTCGCAATTGTGTTATAATGTCAGAATTGCGTGATATAAAGTCGCAATTGTGTGTTATAATGTCAAAATTGCGTGATATAAAGTCGCAATTGTGTGTTATAATGTCAGAATTGCGTGATATAAAGTCGCAATTGTGTGTTATAATGTCAGAATTGCGTGATATAAAGTCGCAATTGTGTGTTATAATGTCAGAATTGCGGGATATAAAGTAGCAATTGTGTGTTATAATGTCAGAATTGCGTGATATAAAGTCGCAATTGTGTGTTATAAAGTCAGAATTGCGTGATATAAAGTCGCAATTGTGTGTTATAATGTCAGAATTGCGTGATATAAAGTCGCAATTGTGTGTTATAAAGTCAGAATTGCGTGATATAAAATCGCAATTGTGTGTTATAATGTCAGAATTGCGTGATATAAAGTCGCAATTGTGTGTTATAATGTCAGAATTGCATGATATAAAGTCGCAATTGTGTGTTATAATGTCAGAATTGCGAGATATAAAGTCAGAATTGCGTGATATAAAGTCGCAATTGTGTGTTATAATGTCAGAATTGCGTGATATAAAGTCGCAATTGCGAGTTATAATGTCAGAATTGCGAGATATAAAGTCGCAATTGCGAGTTATAATGTCAGAATTGCGTGATATAAAGTCAGAATTGCGTTATATAAAGTCGCAATTGTGTCTTATAAAGTCAGAATTGCGAGATATAAAGTCGCAATTGTGTGTTATAAAGTCAGAATTGCGAGATATAAAGTCAGAATTGCGTGATATAAAGTCGCAATTCTGTTATAATGTCAGAATTGCGAGATATAAAGTCAGAATTGCGTTATATAAAGTCGCAATTGTGTGTTATAAAGTCAGAATTGCGAGATATAAAGTCAGAATTGCGTGATATAAAGTCGCAATTGTGTGTTATAATGTCAGAATTGCGAGATATAAAGTCAGAATTGCGTTATATAAAGTCGCAATTGTGTGTTATAAAGTCAGAATTGTGAGATATAAACTTGCAATTGAAAGAAATAATCTCGCAATTCAGATTTTATAACGCAATTGGTAGATATAAAGTCAGAATTGCGTGATATAAAGTCAGAATTGTGTGATATAAAGTCGCAATTGTGTGTTATAAAGTCAGAATTGCGAGTTATAAAGTCAGAACTGTGAGATGTAAACTCGCAATTGTGAGATAAAAAGTCACAATTATCTTTTAAAATGTTTTATTCTGTGCAGGAAACGAGCTTCGATAAAAATGTCATGTCTGGACCTTCCGGTGAAACATCAGACTGCAAAAAATGATTTTCTTCCTCCTTATTTTTGTCTTTTTTTCTAAAATTCAAATTTTTAGACTTAATATCTACAGTTGTTTTGCTTCTCAAGCAAATGCATCATGATTTAAGAATGTAGATATTTGTGCTGGGAAACAAGACAGAAACACTGAGGAAGAACATGTTTTGCGGTGTGGTGATGTATGCAGGATTTCTTGCATTTAGCTCCGCCTTTTGAGTGCCACGCCCACATCTCGACATCCAATCAACGACCGGCGCACAGAACCAAGTCTCACCCTACATTTTTTTTTCTTTTTTCATAATCCGTTTCATTTTGATGTGTGTTACAATATGGAAGAGAAGGTCTGTTGCTATTTCATTGCAACTTTGAGGGAGTTAAGAAACTGCTCCTAGTGCATTAGACCTGGTCTTCACATCACGTCAAATATCGAAACCTTCTGAAATCAAGATGCATTTACTTGAGAATATCTTATTGTACACTCAGGTCTAAACAACGAGGAATATCAGGCCGTGATCGGGAACGACACGACAAGCCACATCGTGGACGACCTGGAGCCGGCGCGAAACTACACGTTTTATATTGTGGCTTACATGCCGATGGGCGCCAGCCGCATGTCGGAGCAGGTCACGCAGCACACGCTGGAGGACGGTGAGTCCCCACTAGGCCCACAATGCACTGCAGCTGCCACTGTACAACATAATAGAAGCTGAGATTCATTTTTTTTTTTAAAATAATAATAATAATAGCAACAAAATAATTATTGGGATTCACTGATGAGTTACTGGTAGGCTTCAAATTTAATTTGGCTGTCTATGAAGTAGAAAAGCAAAAAATTAATACATGAAATCAGTGCTACATAGAAAAAAATATGGAAGCTTGCTTCTGCAACAGAAAAAAAAATTAAGAAGGTAATTGCGACTTTTTTATCTCACAATTCTACCTTTTTTCACGCAATTCTAAGAAAAAGGTTAGAATTGTGAGATAAAGAGTAGCAATTGCTTTTATTTATTTTTTGTTTTTCAAATCAGAATTCCTTTTTTTGTAAACTCAGAATTCCGAGAAGAAAAGTAAAAAAATGCAAGATGTACATTTTAGAACTCTGAGGAAAAAAGTGAGAATTGTGAGATAAAAAGTTGACATTACTTTTTACGTTTTTTAAAACTCAGAATTCCATTTTTTAAAACTCAGAATTCCGTGTTTTTTTAAACTCAGAATTCCGTTTTTTAAACTCAGAATTCCGTGTTTTTTAAACTCAGAATTCCGTTTTTTTAACTCAGAATTCCGTGTTTTTTAAAACTCAGAATTCCGTGTTTTTTAAAACTCAGAATTCCGTTTTTTTAACTCAGAATTCCGTGTTTTTTTAACTCGGAATTCCGTTTTTTTTAAAACTCAGAATTCCGTATTTTTTTAAACTCAGAATTCCGTGTTTTTTTTAACTCAGAATTCCGTTTTTTTAAAACTCAGAATTCCGTTTTTTTTAACTCAGAATTCCGTTTTTTTTTATTAAAAAAACATTCCCAGTGTTTGGAAATCAGGTTATTTAACCTAACTCTAACCTAATACTCTAATGAGAGTTAGTTGGCATGAAGCTGCATAGTGGACTAGGGAAATAAAGTGTAACCTCAAATCTTTCCCATAAAGTGTTTCATCTCTCTGTTTGTCCCTAGTGCCCCTCCGTACCCCTGAGCTGAGCCTGACAAGTCGCAGTCCGACGGATATCCTGGTGTCCTGGCAGCCTCTCTCCCCTAAACTGAGCCGAGGGCGAGTGTCTGCGTACCGTCTGTCCCACCGCACGGCCTCCGACGACTCGCTGACCTCCGTGGAGCTGCCGGTCCCGGGCCAGAACTGCACCCGGTTCCTCCTGCAGGGTCTGCGGCCCGACACCATCTACCTGATCCGCATGTCCGCCTCGACCCGCGTGGGCTGGAGCCAGCCGTCCGCCTGGAGCTCGCATCGCACGCCCAAAACATCCAGCGCCACCGGTGAGACCAGTTTGACCCATCACTATCGCTTCCTCACTGGTTTTGTTTGTTTGTTCATTGGCAGATCATTTTGTTTGTTTTAAGCAAAAACTCACTTCATTTTGATTTTCCCCCCATAAAACAAGACTTAATATCTTATAGCATATTACTCATCTAGTAAATGCATCTTGATTGAAGATTTTGTAGATATTTAGACTGGAAACAACAGAAAAATACTGAGTAAGAACAGCATTTCTTTGACTGGCTTTGTTCCGGCATTTATGTTGTTACTCGATGACCTTTGACCCCGGCTGTCAGTTAGGAGCTCAGTTTGGGGTCGTAAAGGGAACGCTTCAGGCAACCTGAAGAATAGCCTGTTTTCTGCTGGATATTTGCTCACCCGGGTCTGTTAGGTTTAGTTAGACCGACTGAGAGGGATTTCCACCTCGGACAAACTCATCTTGAACTTGTCTGGCTGAAAACATGCAGTTTTCGGGCATTAAGGGGACAGTGTTTGAGTCTCTTAGAAGGATCTTTTATTTAACTCATTAAAACCTTAATCATTGAAACAGTCTTGAATCGATGGCAGACCGTCCCTGGTCAAGATGCATCACGAAACTGATGTGATTTTTTGATCGTTAACTGTACTCTCGTAAAAATAAAGCTTTTCGAAAAAAAAAAAAAAAAAAACGAATTTAAATAGAATTTTCATATGAACAGAAATGTTTTAGCTTTCTGATTTTTACTGGGAAATATATTTTGTAATTTTCCTAGAAAACTTTTTACTTTTTAAATGGAAAGTAAATCGTAATTCACTTAAAACAATTTTTTAAAGAAAGTTTGTGAGTAATTTGATTCGAATTTCCATTTAAGTAGAAACGTTATAGCTTTCTGATTTTTACTGGGAAATATATTGTGTAATTTTCCTAGAAAGTTTATACTTTTTAACCTGTTAAGCTTCAAGCCCACTTTTGAAAAATCCCCAGAAATGACATACCCAAACTAAAACAGATACAGTTCATGAACCCTTTGCACTAAAAGCACAAGTATGATCTCATTTGAAAGCTGACACCTGGTTGTTTATTGTAAATGTAGAATTAATTATTGTCATAATGAAAAAAACAATTTTAAATAGCTTCAAAGTTTTGTAAAGTTATTAGAAATTTATTTTTATGAAACATCTTCATGAAAATAAAATTGAAGTTGGCCCTGGAGCAATCTAGAAATGCACTGCAGCTAAAGCCACATGTCTGACCATTTTATATTTAAAATCTGAAAATGATAAGTATAAAGCTCTCTATTTAGTTAAATGTTTTTCAAGATCATGTCAAATTACTTTATTTTGATTAGACTCTATTAGCAAACTGATGTTTAGTCATCTTCTGAGTCATCTATTCAGTCTATTGTCTCTATTGTTTTGTGGTGCCCCATTCAGTCTCAGTCTCCCCTGCACACATCTACACCTCTCCAGACTGGTTATTATGGCTCTAAATATGCATTTCTTTTGTCTGCATTATAGCTACTAACGACTGGCTATTTACAAGCTATTCATAGGGTTTCAAACCCTAATTTCTTTTATCAAAGTTCTCACTAAATATTTGAAACTGGTATCAAATGCACTGAAACATTTCAGTAAGCATTCCTATTGAGAAAAAAATCATAAAACAATAACTGCTCGTGGCAGGTGCGCCTGGGCTCGCTAGCATGTTAGCTTAGCACACCATCAATACACGACCATTTATGAGATTAAAACTATGTTTGCGCTCCAAACTCACTATATAACGCAAGTCTAGTGTTTTAAATAATCTTCTGTGATCTAACTTGGCTTCAGATAAAAAAAAAATCAGACAGAAAATGTATTATTTAGTGTTCTGAACGATGATGAAATCTATGTCGATTAGCATTACATTATAAATATAATCTATTATTATGAAATACCTGGCATGGCTTGAAGAACACAGGTAACTCAAATATCATTGCAATCATGTTTATTGTCTTCAAAACATCTTTATCTGCATGTTATAGCGATCTCTGTACTTTCTGTATCACTCAGTGACGTCCTGGAATGTCACATGACTATGGGTCTTCTTCATGATCCATATATGGACTTTTATTGGACATAATAGCGCCCCCATGCTATTGGTATGAATGGAAAATACAGCACATCTCAGTAAGAAGCGATCATTATGATTACATCGACGCATTTGGGTATAAATTCAATAAATATTATTCCTGTCTATAGAAATATGATGTGAATCTATGAGAATATATCAATATTTCTCCACATCTGCACATTGTTGAGCTAAAAGCCCTCAGGGACGTTGTTTTGTGAATCGCTGTCATGACGACAGCACGGAGTGTTTTTTATGAATGGACCAGCTGACGCTCATAATTCATATTAAAGGTATCGACTCATTTTTTTCATTTCATAACTCCTGACACAAATTAAGACATAACTGTCACTATAAGTTTCTCAGAATACAATAGTGGTCAAATACTGAATCTTGAGTCTTATATCTTTTTAATGATGTATAGTTTGTCAAGGTATAACATTAAATCTGATAGTATATTTGAACTAAATAAAAAAAAAAACGCTTCAGTGCGCCGACGCTCTGGAGAAGGTTAAGAGGTTAAAGGGAAAATCAATCTTAGTTAAACTAACTTAATTTTTAAGCAAATTCATAAGTAACTTGATTAGGATTTCCATTTACCGGTAGATAGAATTGCTTTACTTTTCTACATTTTACTGGGAAATAAAAAAAAAATCAAAGTTTCTTCGAAAAGTTATATTTTTTAAATGGAAACGATTATTTATTTTTTTTATCGTTAACTGTACTCTATTAAAAATAAAGCTTTTCGCTGAAAAACAACAAAATATCGAATTTAAATAGGATTTTCATATGAACAGAAATGTTTTAGCTTTCTGATTTTTACTGGGAAATATATTTTGTAATTTTCCTAGAAAACTTCAACTTTTTAAATGGAAAGTCAATCGTAATTCACTTAAAACACAATTTTTTAAAGAAAGTTTTTGATTAATTTGATTAGGATTTCCATATAGACAGAATTGTTTTACTTTTCTACATTTTACTGGGAAATAAATAATTTTTATTATTTTCTTAGAAAATTTAGTTTTTAAATGGAAATGATTTTTTTTTTATCGTTAACTCCGTTAGAAATATAAAGTGTGCTGTGTTATTAGTGCTGTTTGCACGTAAAGCATCATTATTACCATAGACTTGGCAAAAATACCATAGGGTTCTGTTAATGTTTTGCAGAAAATGTGTTTATGTCTGCATTTTGTGCATAAGTTGATGTAATGTGTGTTTCTGTCCTCAGTGCCTCCCGCCCCAAACCTTGAGCTTGAGCCCCTGAACTGCACATCCGTGGCGATCCGCTGGCATCCGACTCCCAGTGACGCTGTCATCCAGGGATTCAAGCTTGGTTTCCACCCAGACGGCCAATCAGAGGGCCCCGTTCTGCAGCTGCCCCCCCAACACCACCAGCACAGCATCACAGGCCTCAGTGAGTCACACACACTTATCTGGGAAATAACCACATTTTAGCATTTACTACTTTATTATAAGAAACATTTCTTACAAACTTTTCTTAGACAATTTCTAATTTCTTATATTGGAAATAAATATTAATTCACTTAAGAAAATGCAAAAAAACAACAACACTTTTACCTAATTTTAAGTAGAAAAAAAATCTAAATTCACTTAAAACTAATGAGTCATTTGTTTATGGAACTGAAATGAAAATACATTTTAAAAATTTTCTTAACCCTTTTAAAAAAATGTGAAATAAACCTTTATTCAATACAACAACAAAGAAAACACACTTTTTGTGTAATTTTAGGTAGCCTGCAACTAATATATCTATATATAAAACTTAATTCACTTTAAAACTTAATATTTTTAAAAGAATATTTGTGAGTAATTTGATTAGGATTTCCATAAACAAAATTTTACCTTTCAAATTTTTACTGGGGGAAAAAAGCATTTTAAAATTTTCTTAAGAAATTTAAAAAAATGTAAAATGTGAAATAAATCTTTATTCAATGCAAAAAACAACAACAACACTTTTGCTTAATTTTCGGTAGCCTGGAATAAAAATAAACTCAATTCGCTTAAAATTAATAAAAAGAAAATGTGTGAGTATTTTGATTAGGATTTCAAGAGAACATTTTGCCTTTCTAATTTTTTTTTACTTGGAAATAAATTAATTTTTCATATTAAATAAATAAATTTTTCATATTAAGCTTAATGTAAAGTGTATTTTGCCTAATTTTAAGTATCCTACGACTAATATGAAAAGCATTTATGCAGGTCACTAGTTAATTCTAATCTAAATGAACTGCTTAAAACAACGAGGTAATCTAAAACGAGCAATCTACCTACGTATTTCTCTTATCAAGTATGCATGAATATGTAAAGTAGCATCCCTGAAAATGCACAAGTCAAGCTTTTTTTCAGTAATTACCTTCTTTTGGTCGCACTTCTGCACGGTTGTCCTGTCCGCCGCATCCAGGGCTTTGTTCGTGTCACGTGATATCCCCTCAGGGTCAAAGGTCACACCCCAGATGTCCCCTTCCAGTTTTCCCATGGTTCTCGTCTGCTTCTCCGTCTATTGTGCCTGGGTTTAAGGTCGGGCAAAAGCCCGTGAGAGCGACCCCCCCCCCCCACCACCTCTACAGCTGGACACTCGAGCGCCAACAAAGGATTCTGGGATTGAACTGGGCTGAAGTGACCCGAGAGCAAAGAACTTGTGGGGTTTTTAGAGTCGATGCAAATTTAAGTTCAAAGTCCCGATGGAGTGAGTTCTGTTTGAATTGGTTAGGGTTTTGCTTAACTAATAAATAATAATAATAATATTTTTTTATATATAGCACATTTCTATATACTTATAAAGCTCAAGGTTGCTTTACAAGAAATGGAAAGCAATCAAAAAACAAAACAATTAATATAAAACAGCATTACAAGATAAAAGACGCAGGGATACACATATATTAAAGAAAACAACAACATTATAGAGTTAAAGATCAGAAACTTTAGAGTAACTGTGAAATAAGGCCTGAAAGTCTGGGATTTTTACACTAAATGGACTATTAAAACTTCACTTTTAAATTTAAATAAATTTGAGAAATTTAAATAGGATTTCCATATTTTTACTGGGAAATACATCGTGTAATTTTCCTAGAAAATGTATACTTTTTAAAGGGAAAGTCAATCTTAATTAACTGAACTTAATTTTTTTTTAAGAAAATTAGTTAGTAACTTGATTAGGATTTGATTATAGATAGAAATGTTTTACCTTTCTATTTTTTACAGGGAAATAGATTTTTAAAAAAAATCAGGTTTTTGAAAAGGAAAATAATTCTTAATTCACTTACAACATTTTTTTAATGAAAATTTGTGAGTTACTTGAATAGGATTTAAACGTAGATACAAATGTTAAACCTTTCTAATTTTTTTAATGGTAAATAAATAAATTTTCTTAGAAAATAGAATTGTTTTTAAATGGGTAGTCTTAATTTTTATTTTATTTTTAAAAGCTCATTAATTAACTTTATTAGTGATTTCTTTATAAATAGAAATATTTTTTTCCTTTCTAAATTTTTACTGATAGAAAACCATGGAAAACATAATTTGACGTTTTGTTTTTTAGAATGAAATTTTCTTTTTCGGTTTCCTCAGAGTTTGAGGATCTACACAACTCTATCTCTAGGCCTGTTTCTTCCTAACTAGTTGAGCATAAAGTTTGATCCCGGTCCGGCCCCCGACCTCGGGTCATAAAGCTGTCGTCCCGGGAGACGGGTCGTTTCGGCAGCTGAACGTGCCTGTGAAGGTGACCTCTGACCTCTCGCCCTTTAGAGCCTTAACCCCCCCCCAGGACTTCACACACTGACCAAACTCATTCTTTACTGATGTGTGTCTAAATCTGTGCATTCAGACATGAATTTTAACTTGGTTTAAGTAAGTTTGGTTTGAGGGATAAAACTTTACGCTCAACTAGTTAGGAAGAAACAGGCCTAGAGATAGAGCTATTTAGATCCTTAAATTCTGAGGAAACTAAAAAAGAAAAGAAAAAAATTATGTAATTCCAAAGTGTTTCCACGTTAATTCCATGCTTGAGACACGTAAACCAAATTGACTTTTTTAGGTACTGTAGTAAAACCATGGAATACTTTTATAAGGGTCGTTTTTAACTCTTTAAGACCCTTTGTGTAACTATAAATAACTATTTTATAATGCGTTATGTTGTTCTTCAGACCCGAGAGTGAAGTACCATGTGAAACTGTTAGCGTTCAGTGCTAACGGCGACGGCTATCAGGCTCACCAGACGGTCAACACTCCTGGATGTCCTTGTAAGTGTTCGAAACACATGAACTTGTGCATTTAAACTTCTAAAATGTAACGCTGACTCATGTGGGATTTGTATTCGATCAATATTTAACTAGAAAAGCGGCGTTTGTTAAGCCGATCTTTCATTGTTAGCGTGATAAGCTAACATAGATAGCGGAATATTTAATAGAAGTGCACTTATAAGTGTACATCAAATCTTAAAAGTATATTTAAAATGCACGCCATGCACTTGCAGATAATATGATATTAATTAAATAAAAGGCCACTTAAGTGTTCTTAAGAAGAGCACACTGTCATGCACTTTTAAAAACGTCACATTAAAAAGGTTAATTTAAATGTTTTGTTTTAATAATCTTTTGTCATACACTTATTTTGATGTTTTGACTAACATACTAAAGCACATGTAAAGTATTTTATTATAATTTTAACTGCAGTGTGTTATACAATATTACATTAAAGTTAATAGATTTTAAAATGAATTAAATTGCAACTTCATCATTACAAATGTGTTATAAATGTATTTAAATACATGACATACAGGTTTTAATAGAAATGAAATGATGTTATAGTTTAGCATAAATGCTTCTCATTCTGCAGTACAGGTTAAACATGTCAAAGGCTATAGAAGTAATTATGAATTATATTAAAGATATACTTGGGTCAAAAAGCAAAATTGCATGTAATATAAATTGAAACTACTTCATTTTCATTTAATTGTAAACAACATGCAATTAAATGTCTGAAAATATTACATTCAATTCTCACTTATGGGATATTTTTAACAGTATGAGGACAGAATAACATGCGTATTAAACTGATATTACAACGTGAGCGTGATTTATGAGGACACTTCCTGAGTCCTCGTATCTCAAATGGCTTTAAAAACATTCTAAACAGTGTTTTATTAAAAATGTAGTTTTCTGTGATGGGGTCGGGTGTGTGTGTGTGTGTATTTATGTGTGCGTGTGTGTGTGTGTATTTATGTGTGCGTGTGTGTGTGCATTTATGTGTGCGTGTGTGTGTGTATTTATGTGTGCGTGTGTGTGTGTATTTATGTGTGCGTGTGTGTGTGCATTTATGTGTGCGTGTGTGTGTGTATTTATGTGTGCGTGTGTGTGTGTGTATTTATGTGTGCGTGTGTGTGTGCATTTATGTGTGCGTGTGTGTGTGCATTTATGTGTGCGTGTGTGTGTGTGTATTTATGTGTGCGTGTGTGTGTGTATTTATGTGTGCGTGTGTGTGTGTGTGTATTTATGTGTGCGTGTGTGTGTGTGTATTTATGTGTGCGTGTGTGTGTGCATTTATGTGTGCGTGTGTGTGTGTATTTATGTGTGCGTGTGTGTGTGTATTTATGTGTGCGTGTGTGTGTGCATTTATGTGTGCGTGTGTGTGTGTATTTATGTGTGCGTGTGTGTGTGTGTATTTATGTGTGCGTGTGTGTGTGCATTTATGTGTGCGTGTGTGTGTGCATTTATGTGTGCGTGTGTGTGTGTGTATTTATGTGTGCGTGTGTGTGCATTTATGTGTGCGTGTGTGTGTGTATTTATGTGTGCGTGTGTGTGTGTATTTATGTGTGCGTGTGTGTGTGCATTTATGTGTGCGTGTGTGTGTGTATTTATGTGTGCGTGTGTGTGTGTATTTATGTGTGCGTGTGTGTGCATTTATGTGTGCGTGTGTGTGTGTATTTATGTGTGCGTGTGTGTGTGTATTTATGTGTGCGTGTGTGTGTGCATTTATGTGTGCGTGTGTGTGTGCATTTATGTGTGCGTGTGTGTGTGTATTTATGTGTGCGTGTGTGTATTTATGTGTGCGTGTGTGTGTGCATTTATGTGTGCGTGTGTGTGTATTTATGTGTGCGTGTGTGTGTATTTATGTGTGCGTGTGTGTGTATTTATGTGTGCGTGTGTGTGTGTATTTATGTTTGCGTGTGTGTGTGTTTTTTATGTGCGTGTGTGTGTATTTATGTGTGCGTGTGTGTGTATTTATGTGTGCGTGTGTGTGTGTTTTTTATGTGCGTGTGTGTGTATTTATGTGTGCGTGTGTGTGTATTTATGTGTGCGTGTGTGTGCATTTATGTGTGCGTGTGCGTGTGTATTTATGTGTGTGTGTGTGTGTATTTATGTGTGCATGTGTTTGTGTGTGTGGGTGCGTGCGTGTGTGTGTGTGTGTGTGTGCGTATTTATGTGTGTGTGTGTGTATTTATGTGTGAGTGTGTATGTGTGTGTGTGTGTGTGTGTGTGTGTGGGTGGGTGCGTGTGTGTGTATTTATGTGTGTGTGTATTTATGTGTGAGTGTGTGTGTGTGCGAGGAGTAAGAGGAGAGAGAATATACAGTTTGTACAGTAGAAAAACCATTACGCCTATGGAATGTCTTCACAAGTATAGCAAAACAAACCTGTGTGTGTGTGTGTGTGTGTGTCAGCCGCACCAAACCGGCGTTTGGCCGCCCTGCCGCCCCCCGACCGCGTCCAGGCCGCAGCCCGCAGCCCGTCAGTGGTGAGTCTGAGTTGGGGTCGTCCTGCGTTCAGCTCTGGGAACAGCGTCAGCTACTCCGTCCGCTACGGGCCCGCGAGTCCCTCCGCCGCCGACAGCGTGCGCTACGCCCAGACGTGAGTGCGCCGCAACACAGCCTCCACATCCACAGCACTTCAGCTTCTGGATCCAGATGTCAGATGTGTGTTCTCTCTCTTCAGAACCGAGCAAACCGTGACGGTCTCAGGTCTGCGGCCCAACACTCGTTATGAGTTTGCGGTGCGTCTTCATATGGATCAGATGTCCAGTCCCTGGAGCGCTAGCGTCTATCACAGGACTCCCCTGGAAGGTAGCGGCTACAAACTAGCATTACTAGCATTTGATGATATATTATAGGTTAAAGAATAGACTGTCCCTGTGAGACTCAAGCGCTTCTTGTGTCGCCAGCCCCGGGGTCTCCGCCTCAGGCCGTGCGGGCGACTCTGATCGAGGACGGCACAGCGCTGGTGTCGTGGGATCCGCCGGACCAGCCGGATCTGTGTGTGACGCACTACACCGTCCTCTACGCCTCTCACAGCGCCGGGAGCGCCGGGGAATGGCAGGTTCTCCAGAGGGAAGGTGAGCAGAACCAGAACTACTGCACGTGTTCCTCACACACTGATCAGCTGACCGCTCACAAAGACCCGCCCCCTTAGTTACTGTTGCTATGTCCGACAAGCCACGCCTCTCTCACGCCACATGTTCTCACGCAGTGAAACACACACATCGCGGCGCAGTGAGGACACACACAACACACTGACAACACACACAACACACTGACAACACACACAACACACTGACGACACACGCAACACACTGACAACACACACAACACACTGACTGACAACACACACAACACACTGACAAAACACAACACAAATTGACAACACGCACAACACACTGACAACACACACAACACACTGACAACACACACAACACACTGGCAACACACTGACAACACACTGACTGACAACACACACAACACACTGACTGACAACACACACAACACACTGACAACACACAACACACTGACAACACAAACAACACACTGACTGACAACACACTGACAACACACTGACTGACAACACACACAACACACTGACAACACACTGACTGACAACACATAACACACTGACAACACACACAACACACTGACTGACAACACACACAACACACTGACTGACAACACACACAACACACTGACAACACACTGACAACACACTGACTGACAACACACTGACAACACACACAACACACTGACAACACACACAACACACTGACATGACAACACACACAACACACTGACTGACAACACACTGACAACACACACAACACACTGACAACACACACAACACACTGACTGACAACACACTGACAACACACTGACTGACAACACACTGACAACACACACACAACACACTGGCAACACACTGACAACACACACAACCCACTAACTGACAACACACACAACACACTGACTGAAAACACACACAACACACTGACTGACAACACACAACACACTGACAACACACACAACACACTGACTGACAACACACACAACACACTGACTGACAACAACACACACAACACACTGACTGACAACAACACACACAACACACTGACTGACAACACACACAACACACTGACTGACAACACACACAACACACTGACAACACACACTACACACTGTTTATATTATATATTTAAACATATATTATAAAATATTTTAATACAATATATCTCTTAATCGTCCTCTTGGTGTGATCATGCTTTGATGGCCTCTCTCTCCAGCGGTGAACACGATGGCTCTCCTGGAGAAGCTGGAGTCGGGGAGCGTTTACCTGGTGAAGATCTCGGCCTCGAACCCGGCGGGAGACGGGCCGTTCTCCGGCACCGTGGAGCTGCGGGTCAGGACTCGAGCTCAGCCGGGGAAAACCCCACGGCACACTGACAGCCACGCCGACAGCACAGGTACACCCCTCCCTCTACTACTGTAGTATTTAAAGGATTAGTTCACTTTTGCCGATAATTTACTCTCCCCCATGTCATCCAAGATGTCCATGTCTTTCTTTCTTCAGTCGAAAAGAAATTAAGGTTTTTGATGAAAACATTCCAGGATTTTTCTCCATATAATGGAGTTCAATGGGGTCCAAACGGTTCAAGGTCGGTTTCAGTGCAGCTTCAACGGGCTTTAAACGACACCAGACGATGAATAAGGGTCTTATCTAGCGAAATGATCGGTCATTTCAAAAATAAATAAAAAGTTTAAGTTTTATAAGCACAAATGCTTGCCTTGCTCAGTACATGGGTCACTTTTTTGAAATTGAGATTTATACACCATCTGAAAGCTGAATAAATAATCTTCACACTGTGATGTATGGTTTGTTAGGATAGGACAATATTTGGCCGAGATGCAACTATTGAAAATCTGGAATCTGAGGGTGCAAAAAAATCAAAACATTGAGAAAATCGCCTTTAAAGTTGTGCATTAATGTTCATGATTTTGTGACATTCACTCACAAAAATATATTTTTTATATATTTACGGTAGGAAATTTACTAAATATCTTCATGGAACATGATCTTTACTTAATATCCTAATGATTTTTGGCATAAAAGAAAAATGGATAATTTTGACCCATACAATGTTATAGTTACAGATACACCCGTGCGACTCGAGACTGGGTTTGTGATCCAGGGTCACATGTGAGAATCTAAGTATAAGCCATGCAAGTCTGTCAGATATAAATTAAGTGAACTTAAGCCTGAGCCTGCCGGATCCAGGCCGTTTCCAGATCAATGATGACAATGTAGTGCTGAAGTGTCAACTATCCTCTCCCTATGGAGGATCCCTTTCCCACTCTACAGATAAAGCGTTGTTGAAAATCCGGTTCGCGTACCTCGAAGTGATAAAATAAAATTCTGTATCAAATTTATAGGCAAGACAAGTAGTTTGTTTAGGCATGGTTTGTTTGGAAATTACAAACCTGCGCACACATATTCAAACGAATATAACTATAGAATCAATTTTTAATGCGCATGTGAACGCCATCAGGTCACAGGTTCGCGTTTAAAGTCTGTTTAGAGAGAACGCCGTCGTCTTAGTGGCCCCTAGTGTAATAACAAATGATCATTTTGCTGGAAGTGAATCAATCAAAACCAACTTTAGCTGGAAATAACATTATTCAAAAATCCCTATAAAGCCAAAACAATCTCTGTTACCGTAAATTGTATGTTTATCTCTGTAAAGCTGCTTTGAAACAATCTCCATTGTTAAAAGCGCTATATAAATGAAGATGACTTGACTTGACTTGAACATTAATCCCCTGCACTTTAACAAAAATGTGTTTTTTACAGCGTTTATGGACGGGCTGTACCTCATGGACGAGAAGTCGATGATGGGGATCGTGGTGGGCGTGTGCATCGCTCTGTCCTGCATCATCCTCTGCATCTTCATCCTCCTCACCAAGAGCGAGACGCGGTGAGTCTCAGCGCTCACGTCTCTCACAGAACCAGATCGCTCTGTTCGTGTTGAAGATTAGAGATGATCATGATATGATCATTTTGGCCGATTCGATAACCAATAATTCTTTATATTTGAAAGCCGATAACCGATAATTCTTTATATTTGAAAGCCGATAACCGATAATTCTTTATATTTGAAAGCCGATAACCGATAATTCTTTATATTTGAAAGCCGATAACCGGTAATTCTTTATATTTGAAAGCCGATAACCGATAATTCTTTATATTTGAAAGCCGATAACCGATAATTCTTTATATTTGAAAGCCGATAACCGATAATTCTTTATACTTGAAAGCCGATAACCGATAATTCTTTATATTTGAAAGCCGATAACCGATAATTCTTTATACTTGAAAGCCTATAACCGATAATTCTTTATACTTGAAAGCCGATAACCGATAATTCTTTATATTTGAAAGCCGATAACCGGTAATTCTTTATATTTGAAAGCCGATAACCGATAATTCTTTATATTTGAAAGCCGATAACCGATAATTCTTTATATTTGAAAGCCGATAACCGATAATTCTTTATACTTGAAAGCCGATAACCCATAATTCTTTATATTTGAAAGCCGATAACCGATAATTCTTTATATTTGAAAGCCGATAACCGATAATTCTTTATATTTGAAAGCCGATGTAGCAATGTTCAGGGAAGAAGGAGGCGGGAACCGGCGGACAATCAAAATAAAACTTTATTTAAATGAAATAAATAAAATACCTGCCAGCAGCCCCTCACGGACGACTGCTGGCTACCAAAATAAAATAAAACAAAGCACAAACAAAAGCAGGCCTGTTCCTCTCTCGATCATCCACTCCGTCGCTCCCCCTTTATGCTTCCGCTCCTCCGTGAGAGATGCGAGACCGGTGTGCTTCACAGGTGCTGCTCATTAGCAATCGCACCACCGGCCTCGCGACGTTCTCTCACGTCCCTCGGCCATCCTGCTCACCACAGCCGATAACCGATAATTCTTTATATTTGAAAGCCGATAACCGATAATTCTTTTTATACCATGGTTTGGGTGAATACTCGATTCTGATTGGCTGCAGGGTGTCCATTAAAAGGTGATAGAGGACACCTAGTAAAGGAGTTCTGGTGAAACTGACTGTTTACCGTTCGAAATTAATAAATAAATGCGCTGGCTACATCAGCTGTGAGTAACCATAGCAACAGGCAGTCAACGTATCCGGTTACAATTTATTGTATCAAAACAAACATCTAGTTGGCCGTTATACTACGCCTATCTGTGTGTTTTAATTATAGGTTAAAAAAAACTAAAGTGTAACGCCCATGGCTAGACAAGCCTAACTTACATGAAAACAAATACGTTAACTTTCTGGCTCGTGAGTTAGCTAAACTGAAGGGTTCTCCGAGCTGAGCGTACTATAAATATCTCCGGTTGCTAAATAAACCGTCAGGCGTAACCAGGGAAACCAAGTTGTTGTTTGTAAAAACTTTAGATTTTGATTGTAAAACTAACTAAAACATAAACTAATGTTTTAAAAATCTGTTATTTGGCAAGTGACCATGGTATAAGCGGGTCAATGCCCTTTGAGGTGTCCATTATTAATGGACTTCGGCGGAGGCAACCGTCCTCCAATAATACCTGACAATGGACACCTCGACGGGCATTAACCCTTACATATTTGAAAGCTGATAACCGATAATTCTTTATATTTGATAGCCGATAACCAATAATTCTTCATATTTGAAAGCCGATAACCGATAATTCTTCATATTTGAAAGCCGATAACCGCTAATTCTTCATATTTGAAAGCCGATAACCGATATATCGGCAGATTAATCTAAATCCAAATTTTTATGTAATTTTTGAGAGCCTGATTACAAAAACAAAAGTCTCCTCATTAATAGCCATGTCCCAAACACATAATTATAAAGTTCTCATTATAATTTTATGTAACCGATATAACTGCACATGTTGCACTGAACTGTATTTTCCTTTTCAAAGTGATTCCACTCATATTTCAAGCAATTCAAACCATCATGTTGAACAGTGCGCATCTAAAGTGTGTTATACATTATTTATCAGCTTCAAAGGGATAGTTCGGCCAAAAATGATATTTAAACCATGCATTACTCACCCTCAAGCCGTTCGAGATGCATATGTCAATCTTGTTTCAGACGAACACATTTTCAGTTATTTTAGAAAATGTCTTAGACCCTTCAGTGGATATAATGTGAAGCAATGGGGTCCACCTCCTTCAAGTCCCAAAATGTGCATACATCCTTCACAAAAGTAATCCATCCGGCTCCAGGGGGATAAACGAAGGCCTTATGAGGGTAATCCGTGCGGTTTTGTCGTAAATATATACATATTTAAAACTTTATAAATGAAAATATCTGACTTCCGGCAACGATCGACGCGCGTTCACGGGTGATGGAAGTCGGCGTACGAGGTAGGACGTAGCGTTGTGACGTAGAACAAACGCGCCCGCGCAGCCAGAGAGCTATGCAGAGAGCAGAGCAAAACATCACCCGTGAACGCCCGTCGATCGTTGCCGGAAGTCAGATATTTTCATTTATAAAGTTTTAAATATGTATATTTTTACGACAAAACCGCACGGATTACCCTCATAAGGCCTTCGTTTATCCCCCTGGAGCCGGATGGAATAAATGGATTACTTCTGTGAAGGATATATGCACATTTTGGGACTTGAAGGAGGTGGACCCCATTGCTTCACATTATATCCACTGAAGGGTCTAAGACATTTTCTAAAATAACTGAAAATGTGTTCGTCTGAAACAAGATTGACATATGCATCTCGAACGGCTTGAGGGTGAGTAATGCATGGTTTAAATATCATTTTTGGCCGAACTATCCCTTTAATATATCGGCCAGATCTTCTTATAATAAACATATATCGACCGATACGGATATGGTGGCCGATATGTGACAGCCAGTGTGGATTTCTCTCAGCAGGAAAGCTGCTTCCTCGAAGATGATTGGACAGGTGAGGAATGAGGTCATGCACAGCGATGCGTCATCAGCCAATCAGCAGCAGGCGGAGGCCACAGAGGGCCTGAGGCCGATGATGAGGACACACTTCCTTGATACTAAAGTAAGAATCTGTTTACTTTATTTACCCATGTGTACATAGATTGGGTTTGAATTTTTGACTGAAAAATATGACTTTTTTTAAAAATGGTACAAATCTGAATGGTACAAAACTTTTTAAAGGTTTTGGCACTTGCAATGTGAAAGAAAAAAAATCATGGACATGATTTGAAAAGGTTAAAAGGTTTTGAAAAAAATAGTCACACTTGTGCTCCTCGCCGTCAGAAACGAGCGCATTGTAAATTAATGTAAGTTTCCTCTAGTGGAAGCGTTCTGTACTGCAGCCGAACACACTCACTTAAAGATCATTTATTAACCTGTTAAGCACTGAAGCCATTTTTGAGTTGTTTTGTCTGAGAGACACACATAAAAGTAAAGACTCATAACTCCAAAACTGTAACAAGGAGAGTCAAAAGGGAGGTATTGTTTGATAGAACACTTTTCAAATTTTTTGAAAATATAAATTACATTACATTTTGACATTCTCCTGCTGAGAAACTGCTGATAAAAGACAAAAATATATATAATTTTATTATGATTTTGCATATATTTCTTGTTTGACATGGAATAACTCTGGAAGGAAATATGGTAGCTCAAAAATTCTTTTTTGGTGAAGTCCCTCTACAGGTGACCTGCATCTGGATCAAATTTTGTGGTGATTGCATAAAGTATTCAAAAGTTACAGCATTCTGAACAAAGGTTGCCTTTTTGTTTAGTCCTCACACATTTGAAAGGCAATAAAAAATTGTTGTTTTCTGAGTGACACACAAAACTAAAGACTCATAACTCCAAAACTATAGCAAGGAGAGTCAAAAGGTAGGTATCGTTTGATAGAACACTTTTCAATTTTTTTGAAAAGATAAATTACATTACATTTGGACATTTTCCTGCCGAGAAACTCCTGATAAAAGACAAAAAATAAATATAATTTTTATTATGATTTTGCATATCTTTCTTATTTGACATATAATAACTCAGGAAGGAAATAAGGTAGGTGGAAAATTCTTTTTTGGTGAAGTCCCTCTACATGTGAGCTGCATCTGGATAAAATTTTGTGGTGATTGGATAAAGGAATCAAAAGTTATAGCATTTGGAACCAAGACAGGCTTTTTGTTCAGTCATTGACGCCCCCTAATGGGCATTTTTAAAATTGTTCCTCCATGGAGAATATCTTGTCATAAACGCAATAGATTATGTTCATTTTGGGCTCATTTTAATTGTAATAGTATGCTGTAAAAAATGATGTGCCATTTTCAACGATCTGTGAATGTTTCATGAGCTGTATTATGTTTTTGGCACATTGCAGTACATAGTACAAAAAAGTATTTTATAGATTATGAAAAAAATTAATTCTATTTATCAGCAAATAACTAAGCAATACTTAGGAGATGTTCAAATTGGCTACATTCACTGTAAAGTTCAGACTCTAAGCTTTCAAATGACACCTATTTTGTGTTAATCAAGGCAATATTTTTGAATAATATGATAATTAATATTTTCGCAGCCAGGTGGCCCCCGCGGGCGGTGCCGTCAGAGTTAAAGGGACTACTCAGCACTCGTTCAGAGTTGATCGAAGTGGTTAGAAGCTTTAAAAAGCTGAGATTCTAAGCTTTAAGATGATACATATTTTGTGTTATCCCACGTTTGAAAAAAGCACGGATGGCTCCGGAACCATTGGAAAACACATTGCATCCCGGAAAGATGAGAGACATGTTTTTTAGCCAAGCATGCATCACTTCGTGAGGTATATCTCGCGATCAACGCAATGGATTATGTTGTGTTTGGGCTCTTTGTAATCGTGAGAATCTGCTGTCAATAAAGATGTTCGATTTTTCACAATCCATGCATGTTTCATGGAGTTATGAGCTGAAACGTCACATCAAAACAACATAGCATTACTGCTACTGCTACTTCATTGGTGCGCATAGTGCAACGTCATGTGTTAGAAGTCCATAAGGAATATCTTTAGATCTGAGTGATGGATTATGGTGAGTTTGGGCTCTTTTTAATCTTAACAATCTGCTGTAAATAATGATGTGCCATTTTACACGATCTATGCATGCTTCATTGAGTTATGAGTGAAATCGCGGCATTAGTGCTCCATCTATATACAAGGCTCTATGTGCGCCTGTGGGGGTTCGTGTGTTACAACTCCATTAGGAATATCTTAAGATCTGAGTGATGGATTATGCTGTGTTTGGGCTCTTTTTAATCGTGAGAGTCTGCTGAAAATAATGTTGTGCAATATCCTACGATCTGTGCATGTTTTATGAAGTTATAAGCGAAAAACCAACGCGAGTGCTTCACCAGTATATACTTGGCTAGGTACGTCTGTGGTATTTTTTGTGTTGGAACGCCATGAGGAATATCTTTAGATCTGATTTATGGAATATATTGAGTTTGGGCTCTTTTTAATCGTGAGCTCCTGCTGTAAATAACGGTATGTCATTTTTCATGATCGATGTATCTTTCATGAAGATACGAGTGAAAAGGCCAAGTCTAAGCTACCTTGCTTGGCTACGTGCGTCTGTGGATTTTCTTGGTGGTAGAAATCCATGAGGAATATCTTTAGTTCTGAGTAATGGATTATGTTAAGTTTGGACTCATTTTAATCGTAAGAATCTGCTGTAAATAATGATGTGTCATTTCCCACAATCGGAGTATGTTTAATGAAGTTACGAGTGGAAATGTGTCTTAAATTATGCATCCTTATATGATTTACAAATGGGTCTCTTGAGGGGCTTCTTGTACAAAACCTCACTCAAGTTTAGTAAAAAGCCCGAAACAATTATGCTTGTTGTATTCTACTCATTGAGACCTTTCAAATGACATATGGCACATGACTATCTGAGCTGTATGATGTATTTGACATATTGTAGTATGTAGTACAAAAAAGTACTTCATAAATTATGAAAACATTTTTTTTCTATTTATCAGCAAATAACTCCGCACTACTTAGGAAGTTATCAAATTGGCTACATTCATTGTAAATTTCAGACTCTAAGCTTTCAAATGACACCTATTTTAAGTTGATCAAGGTAATATTTTTGAAAAATATTATTATTATTTTATATCGCAGCTAGGTGGCGCCAGCTGGCGGTACACTCCGTTTTAGAGGGATTACTCAGCACTCGTTAGGAGTTGATCAAAGTGATTATATGCATTAAAAAGCTGAGATGCTAAGCTTTAAAATGATACCTATTTTGTGTTATTTCATTTCAGTGGTTGCTTAGAAATTTGAATATGAAGTTTTTTTCGCGGGGGGGCGCCCCGTTGCCCCCGGTACCGGGGGCGCTGGTTATTAACAGGTTAAGAAACCTCAAATTTGTATACATTTTGTAAAAAAAAAAAAAAAAAGTAAACAAAACAAACAAAAATGTAAAGGTCTATTACTTTTTTTTAAGTTTACTTTAAACGTTTTTTCACTTCAGCAATAATCTGCCACGTGTCGTCTTTAAAAAGAGACCAAACTTTAATAGCCGCGTTTCCACTGCCGGGCCAGGGCCAGTCGCGTTTCCACTGTCACTTCCGGGGCTTGATCGGGGCTTACTCGGGGCCAACGGCCAGGATTTCTGGCCCGTCGAATACCTTGGGCCAAAGCGGGCCAGCTCGGGCTAGAGGAGTGGTTACGAACAGAGGCGGAGTTTACCTGAGTCGAGAGATGGGAGCGCCGAATGATTCTGTCAGCATTAAAGACTTTTAAAATAATTTAACTCACTTTCATGTTTTAATGCCTTCTGTTTGTGATCCGATGTGGATTCTGATCACCGTATAAGGTAGAAATATTTATACGCGATGCAAAAGACTATGCGCGCTAACCATTACCATAGTAAACATATTAAACGCTTGAAGATACGCATAGTAAAAAAAACATGGTGAACGCTTGAAGAAGTCAGACCAATCATAAAGGCTATCACAATCATGTTTTTATTTTATCTGTCACTAGGCCTACGTCTCGTCTCTTTATAGGCTACCGGACTATCGTAAAAAAAGCTACTTTTTTTCGGGAGCTTCCTGTTTCTCTGACTGAAAATATCTGTAGCCTAGCTACTGGGAGTCGAGACTGTGCTAACGCTCCTCAGGTCGTATTTTTGGTGGCATTGCATATAACGTTATTTGTAGAAATTATCATTCTTTCTAAATGTGATGGTATGTCCTGTAACTACCAAATAAACAGAAACAGCCTCGACTGAATAATGTAAGTGTGTCCTCTCTTTTGTAAAATAGACCTAACGGTAATTTATTTCTGTGACTAATGTGCAATTTTGACATTAATTAATTATGATCAATGTATCACTTTTTATTGTAAACCTGTGGTAAAACATCGATGCTTGGGTTTTAAATATTCAAGTAAACAACAAAAATGCCAGCAAACGGCCGCTTTTATCATGTTTGTTTTGCGATGCACGCTGTTTCCAGTGATTTCATTCTGATTAGTTTTCTGATAAAACTTCCATTTGTTGGTGAAATGATGGGTTAGTGTGACGTTGTTCCAGAGAGGCGTGTTGCGGGCGTTTTTTAGTGACGCGCTGTGGAGATTCTGGCCCGACAGTGGAAACACAGGCCAGGTGCTACTGGCCCGAGGCTATTAGCCCGGCACGGCCCGTTTAAAGCCCTGGCCTAGCACTGGCCCGACAGTGGAAACGCGGCTAATCTGTTGCTCTAAAGCATTCAAGATTTACGACAGTTTGAGTTGGAAATTTCATTTTCAGGTCTATGCTCAAAAAGTGATTAAATGGATTATAACTACTGCATAAATATAATTAAGTACCATAAAATCCCCTAATATATATATTAATAATACTGACTTTGACACCATTTTTGCAGTTTTAATGAGATTTAAATACATGATAAATCTTTTAATTATGTGTATCAAAATTAAATTTACATTACAGTCAACATGAAACATCATTTTCCCAGTGTTGTTTTATAGTTTTTATCAATATTTTGAATTAGCCTTTATATCCTCAGTTCATTTTAATTTTAGTATAACTTTTATTAAATTTATGTGCTTCTGTCGACCTTATTATTAGTTGTTGTTTTGTTTTAGTTTTAGTTTAGTTTTTCAGTTTATAGCCAAGGCAGCATTTCTAACTTTCATTTAGTTTTTTATTTAATATTTATATTTTAATTTATTTTAGCTTTATTTCATGAACTAATAACTGTTTAATGTTAGTTCAGTGCATTAACTAATATTAACAGCTTTTGATTTTAAAGATGTATAAGTGAATGTAGAAATTAACGCAATGCTGTGAGAAGTATTGTTCATTATTTGCTAATGCAGTTAATGAATGTTAACGAATAAATGCTTATCTTAGACTTGTTTATTGCATAAAGCTAAAGTAATGTCTATAACACTCTCCTTTAATTTTTTCTGTAAAGATCTTAAAATATTCTATGACTCATTGAATCCAATCACTAGTAATAAGAAGTGTATAAAAACATCTCTTATATTGAAAAACATAATTTGTAGAATTTAATGCTTTACTGTAAGAATAATGTAAGATCTGTTATATGTTTTCCCCAATATCTGTTTGGCTTATGTTAAATTTCATAGTCACCTTTATTTAAGTTAATTTTTTTTTAAGTTAGACTTGTTAATGAAGTCTCTGTAGATGTGTTTTTCTGCCCATGATCTCTGATGTTGGATGTGTTTGTGTTGCACAGACTGATGATCGTGTTCTTGCGGTGGCGAAGACGGTTCTGCGTTACGAGGACGAGCAGATCCTCTTCCGGCCACTGGGGGAGCCGGAGAGTTCGCAGAGCAGCGCCGCAGACTCCGGAACGGAAGATAAACAAGACGTACCTGTCACTCATGTGATGTGAGTGGGCGTGGCCTGAGATTCCAGGGCCAATAGAGACAGAGCACATTTAGGCCACGCCCACACACAATCCAACCGTCTCAAAAAATGAGTTTCTGACTTATAACAAAAAACAAAAAAATTTCTAAAAGCTGCTGTGTGACAGAGTGAACAGCAAACAAGCTAAACAACCCAGAAATACGCTTTTATAAGCCGTCGACCCCAAAAAACAGCGTTGAAGGAGACAAAAGTGGGACAGGCGATTGAGAGCGAGCGCAACATGTCGTATTACTCTGAGAACTAACGTTATCAGCCACAGCGTACCTTACAGAAATATAACATATAAAACTGACATTTGGATATTTGACTTACCAGTGACTATATGTATTTTTAGCGTCAGGATCCCACAGTTTACCCATTCGCTCCAGCCTGTCCCACTTTTGTGTCCTTAAAGGGATACTCCACTTTTTTTGGAAATAGGCTCATTTTACAACATTGCGACATGCGTCAACACAACGGAACTATTTTCAGTCCGTTCGTCATATCATTACGCCTGCTGCTCTCATGGTACGGCAGTGAAGTTTCTTGATTATTACGCAGGAATGAGCGTATAGTTCCTAGCCATATCAGCCTAGAAAATCGCAACTTTACATTTTCCGTCGGTCTTAGTCCACGATGTAACTACAGAAAAGTTTTAAATAGGAAAAATATCGAAACTCTTTGGTCATTTTTTTTTGAGAAATGCTAATGGTCTTGTCCACTTCAATGATGTATGCTAAGCTATGCTAAAAGTGGTACCGCCAGAACCGGAGATCGGCTGAATGGATTCAAAAACGGTAAAACTCAACAGTTTAACTCTGGGGGAGTTGTAAAATGAGCCTATTTCCAAAAAAAGTGGAGTATCCCTTTAACCGCTGTTTTTTGGGGTCGGCGGCTTATAAAAGCGCATTTCTGGGTTGTTTAGCTTGTTTGCTGTTCACTCTGTCACACGGCAGCTTTTAAACATTGTTTTGTTTTTTGTAATAAGTCATAAATGACGAGGCGGCAGCTTCACACAATGCAAACTCAATGGAGACGGCTGCACTGTCGTCCGATCGCGACGCGTGTCGCTCTGTCTCTAGGAAAACCAGCCGCACTGTTTCTTCAGGATACGACGGATCCGGAGAGAGTGCGATCCAGATGCTCGTGCCAAAAACCCTTTAAATATATAGCTTTACTAAGTCGCAGATGCTCTGCCGGCTTCGACAAACTTGCACAGCCCTTTCTAATGACTTCCCCTTCCCAGCCGGACCTGTTCGGAGTGATTCCCAAAGATTAGACGTGTGTCCGATCAGCTTTCCCTGCTCCGGATGATGAATGTGTTGAAGAGCGCCGGATGTGCGTTACGCTGACGGACGCGTGTTTATTTGTGACAGAGACGGGGTTTGGTTCTGCTGTCTCTCTACCTCATTCGCCCTCGTACGGGTTTGTGCAGTTCCTCGAGTTCTACTATTGTTGTGATATTAACACTGAATAATCCAAAGAGTCCAAAAAGATTCATTAAAATGGGAACACTTTACATTAAGGTTCAATAAGTTCATCTAAACTAACAATGAACAATACTTCTACCGCATCTTTAATGTTAATTTCGACATTTACACTAATTAAAAGTCAAATACAGTCGCAAACAATAACTGGTTTCTATTAACTAGCATTTAACAAAGATTAATAAATGCTTTTAAAATATATTGCTCATTGTTAGTTAATGTATTTACTGATGATAACAAATGAGACCTAATTGTAAAGTGTTACCTGAAAACTACTCAGTTTTTCATCCTTTTCTAGTTAATTATGAGAAATTCAAAAGAGTTGTTCAAACGTCTCTAGTTTCATTGCTTATTTTCACACGAAAATAGTGCAGAATCTGAAATATTCAAAATCCTAAAACTTTCCAGGTTTACATGAAAAAAAAAGCATTGTTTTGCGATGTGATCTTTTAAAACCTCACCATACATATTTATTTTTGACTTGAAGATACAAAAAGTAGCATGAAAGTGGCGTGTCAGGTTATGAATGCTGCTTTATACGTGTTCGAGTGTAGATGCGGATCCTCAGGCGAGTGAACCGTTTACCTCAGTTTATTTAATTCAGTTCATCGTTTTTGTGTTGTACGAGCTCCTGTTCACTGTCGTGTGGCGCATGAACGCTTTACGCTTGCCCGATCAGGTTGCTCCGATGCTAAGGTTTTAAGCATGTTCGTTTGCGTTGTGGAGGATTCGGTTTTGATTCATTTTGGTTGTTCACATAAATTAGCTCTAGCTTCTTTAAAGGAATATTTTGGGTTTAGTCGAATGAAACCGTATTGACGGCATTTGATTACAAAAGAAAATAATGCTACGTTCACGCCATGTCTTAACCAAAGTCGCATTGTGCAACCATTTTTCCTGCCGGCACGATTCAATTATGAGGAACATCAAACTAAACGGAATGAGATCCAGTGAGAAAGTGTTTTAATTTGCAGCAGAATTAAAAACCTTGCAGCGAGTAGCATTAAAATTCAGCACAGAATACTGTTATAAACCATATCAGATCAAATAACACTGACGTGGAAACCAGGAGAATCCGTGTGCCATGAGCGAACCAGTTATAGAAGGCTTTACCATTCACAAATCACCAACATTCACCATGGATTTCATGTAGTAACACCCACTGTAACCATGGTATTGTGGCAGAAATAGTCGAATGTTTTTACATTATCCATTTCAGGGTTCGTACAACCCTTTGAGAGTGAAATTCAAGGACTTTCAAGTGCTTCACACAACTTTGTATTAGAACTTAAAAGCTCTAAATATTACCCGATTTAAATGTTATTTTTAATGTGATGACCAAAAACATTATAAAGAGTGTCCCCATTTGTAAAACTAAAAGTTTCAAGATGTGGGAAAACTAACACTTGGTGGCAAACTTTTATTTAAAATAAAAAGACATTAAATTACTGCTATAACCAGTAGATGGCGACAGAGGAGCACATATTGTCTTATTAGCTTTATGTCTAATTGTCTTGTATATATTTTTGCTTTTAAATTTGTATTTAGACATTATGAAATCACTATTATATAATATGATATCATCAAGAATTAAATTATCAAAGTTTGGCACCTTTTGTACCGAAATATAAAGCAGGAACGTCACGGCCACATGGTGAAAGTTAGCTTTCAGAAAATGTACAGTTGTAATTACAAGTTACACACTACAAACACATGACGCTTTCAGAATCGTTATTGTAATGAGACATGGCGTGAACACACCTTCATTTCAACCTGAAAGTGTTCGTTTACGGTAAGCAACCGAGTTATATTAGTCATTTCGAAATCATCAGTTGTTTTTGTTGGTTTATACGAACTGAGGGACGACTTGAACATTTCAAGCTTGTTGTACCTTTTTTCTGCAAGATTTCTGTGGTGAACAAGTGAAAAAAATAACCAAAAAAAAATAAGAAAATCGGTGCACCGGTGATGTCGGTCCACCAAACTGAAAGCTTTATAAGACGTCGACGGCCTTATGATGGGAGGATCGTTTGCAATATGAAAGATGTCTGATCCAAAGAGTGAAATGGAGAAATTATACAGAGCTGTTACCTCCAAAGATAGATACTATATATTTCTGTATATTTGAAAGAAAGTGCCAAAAGTAACGCATTTCAGCTTTACGTTAATTTTCTCATGCTAGTTCCGGCGCTCAGATTTTTGCGCGGTATTTTCGTTGCTAGGCCTCCATTTTAGATTGTAGTGACGCGGCGGGAGTGACGTGTGACGCACGCTAGAATCCAAAGAGTTGTTTACTTCGTTCACTGGGTTGAATTACGATTTCAACATCGAGTATGATTGTGATTGTGTGACTTTGAGTGTTTGTATGAAGTGTGGCTGAACTACATTTGCAGTATTACTGTTGTCCGAACAATATTTTATAACGTGACTTGGGGAAAATATAATCATAGAGTTTTGAAACAACCCTTTAGATCGAGGTGACACAAAATCATATTTCAGAAAGCAAAGTAAATCTATACCAAAGATTGACACGGTCGCCCCTGTGTAGACTTGACTAGACTTTTGCTTTTGTAAAGTTGCATAATGTTTTGACTACGATCACACATCTTTAAACCTTCAGAAAACCTGTTTTAAACCCTTTTTAGCGTATTGAACATGTGCCGTGCCAAACCAACCTCAAACAATGTGAATTTACTCCTGAATGTAAAAAAAATATCACAAAAACTTTGAATTAGCGCTGTAAATGCTTAAACATGCTCTGTATTTTTTCCATTTTTTTATTCTTATGAGTGATTTTGAACTTGTCATTTGAGTTTAATGTTTTGCTTGTTCACATTGGGTTTTGCTCATTGAATGTCCCTGAACAGCCAAAGAAATGTGTTTTATACTCTTGTGTCAGGAACTTTTAATGGACTTAGTTTGATTTTTATCATGATTTGCCTGTTGATTTATTATAATTTGTATTATGATTATTTAAGCCCCTCATGTTGAGCATGTTGTACCAGTTTGATTCCATTACATGCCAAAAAAGTGGTCAGAACAATGCACATTATAATAAAATATTTCTCAAAAATAACAGTTTGGCTCATTAATTTTCTTTTTGGTTAGTTAGAAATCACCCCCCTCCCCCTTTTTAATGTCACGCTTTTTGTAAACGAGATGTTTAGTTTGAATGGTAGGCTATTATTATACTTAACTACATTAAAATATTTGATTTTTCAAATATAGAACTACGGTAAAGCAGTGATTAGAGAAACGAAGCTTTTCGAAACTATGAATCAATTGAACCGAGTCGCAAAATGATTCACTCGAAACGCCACACGCTGGCGACCCCTGCTGGTCAGAACAGTGTAAACGCAATGAAAACTCATGCCAGACATTTTACAAACCAATTACAAATGTTTCATTGAAAGTGTATTATTAACAAATCATCTATTACCATTTAAATATGAAACGTCGGTATATAATGTGTTATTTAATTAATTAAATTGTAGGGCTTGTTTTATATAGAGCTAGAGACAATCAACTAAAACGCTTCCTTTTTATTTTAGTCCTACAAATGTATAATTAAAAATGTCTACAAATTTATATTTTAAAAAAAGTATTATAAATAATAATATAAAGTAAAAAAACAAGCGGTGAAACATTGGAATTTTGAAACGTTTCGAAACCGTTCATCACTACTGAAAATAACCTTACGATTTTACACAAAACCACTTAAAATTAAGCAATTAAAACAATTTGGATATAAAGTGTCTGTCTGTCTAAAATTGGAATAATTCAAACAGAAGTCAAATAATCACAATAACTTCGTTCAGTGTATGTACTGTAAAAAGTAATTTCAACTCATTTTTTTATATTGTCTGGTTGAATCTCATATATAACTTAAAAAAATTAACTTGTTGAAATGGGTCAAATTATTTCGATGAGTTAAAATAACAGGAAAATATATGTCGCCATGATTTATTATATGATATTATATTATATTGTACACTCTATGATTGTACAGTGTGAATGTGAGGTAATGCCACTCCAGGCCTCTCGGCGGCGCTAGAGCCTGTGCCGTGCGTGATGACGTCATGCACCGGAAGCGGAAAGCAAGTGTCCTCTTTTCCGCCTGTGTTCGCAGCGCTGCGACACATGTGCGAGTTAAATAATAATAATTGATCAAAATGCGCATCGAGAAGTGTTATTTCTGCTCGGCCCCGGTTTATCCGGGTCACGGAATGATGTTTGTGCGGAACGACTGTAAGGTAAACACTCGAGCGATCGTTATTACTGGCGTGTGTGTGTTTGTGTTTATATCAGACGGACGATGAGCGTCATTTCAACGAGTGTTAGTTTAACATTGATGCTTCATGTTGTTTATTATTAACGAATTAAATGTGAATTAGGTGTTTTTTGAACGAGTTCCCATATTCATATATGTGTTTTTTATGAACGATTGTACGTGTCGACACTCGACAGTAACATTTCAATATCATAATACATATATTGGAAACATGGGGAAATTATGTTTTACATAATTTATAAAATAAGTTTACATAATAGATAACAATTTAACTTAATCAGTAATTTAATAAAATATATATTTATACAATGTTATATAATTTTATATTATTTACACCAGTCAAGAGTTTTGGATCGGTTTTTTGTGTCTTCTGCTCATCAAGGCTGTGTTTATTTGACAAAAGCGTATATTTCAGATAAACACTGTTCTTTTGAACTTTCTATTCATCAAAGAATCCTGAAATAAAAATATAAATAACTGTTTTCAACACTGATAATAATCATAAATGTTTCTTGAGCATCAGATCCTCATATTAGAGTGATTTCTGAAGGATCATGTGACACTGAAGACTGGAGTAATGATGCTGAAAATACAGCTTTGATCACAGTAATAAATTACACTTTACTATATATTCACATAGAGAACAGCTGATTTACATTGGAATAATATTTCACAATTTTACTGTTTTGTATTTTTAATCAAATTAACACAGCCTTGGTGAGCAGAAGAAACCTCTTTTAAAAACATTAAAAATCTTACCGATCCAAAACCTTTGACTGGTAGTGTATATTGTACTATAATTTTTAATATATTATCTCCATGATAATATTACGTCCAGAATAAGACCCTGACAGTGTTTGCACGTTCTCAGTCTGTGTTTATCAGTGTGGATCCTGAACGGTTTGTGGTCTTGAAGTCTTTCAGGTTCTGCAGATCCAAATGCCACAGAAACTTCAAGAAGAAGCGAAACCCGAGAAAGACCAGATGGACCAAAGCGTTCAGGAAATCAGCGGGCAAAGAGCTGACGCTGGTGAGAGAGCCGACACACCTGTGTTTCAGCTGTTGTGTGAGCAGCGAGGCACTCGAGGCTGTAGCTAGCGCTGTCACTTTAGTGAAATAATCCTTTTTGATTTTTGAGACATAAGTGTTCATTGAATCGATTGTAAAACACCAACACCAGATATAGGCAAATCCACGGACACCTAACAGGCATTAGGACGAGCGTAAAGAGGCGCTTGAGACGCACAGGTCAGCATTATTCCTGATGATTTACTGGCGTGAAGTTTCAGCACAATGACAAACAGGAGCGCAACATTCAGGGATTGAGATTAACACCCGCCAAATGCGGGTAAAGATGAACTTTGGCGGGAAACGCTGTCGAATCACGAGCCAATCTGGCGTGTTTCTGTTTACTCACTTTGCTGGGGAAGTTCGTGTAAGACAAATCTGCGCAAATACGCAACTCGTGATCCTCATGATATATTAAATACAGCGTATTGCAGAATCTGCTCATTTCTGGCTTACTTGAACACACACACACATACACACACGTCACTACACAACAAATAACGGCGCGCTTGTTCACTTGCACTGAAGTAATAGCGAATATTAAAAAGCATTTGGTGAACAGAAAAGACATTGTTATTTTCCAGCATCCTACATGTTCTGTGTGCTGTATTGATCTGTCCATCTAAAACACATTTTTGGTAAAAAAAAAAAAAAAAAATGAATCAATGCAACTTTCATGACGCAAAATCACTAAAAGCCTTCCTTCCGCTGGATAAAATAGTCCCTGAACGTAAACACCAACAGAAGTTACACACATTATTTCGCTATTAGACGGCGGCAAACACTGTCTTTATGAGTCAGTCAGTGGAGAAGACTTTAATACTGAAAGGACTGAAACTTGTGAACTGAACACAGAGAAGCAAGATGCAAATGACTAGCGTGTCGTGACACAGGAAACTCCTTAACTGTTAAAAGGACACGATATCAGCAGATGTTCAAACTGATTATTTATTACGAATATAATAAGACTGACCTGAAGGAAAATGCTATATCTACTGTAAACTCGCTTACTTGCTGTTAATACTCTACATTATAAGCTTGAACAATAGCAATGAGAACATGTTTGCGTTGCTAAGAGTGGTTGCTAGGGGTGTTGTGTAGTGATACATAACTGTTGGATATTGAAGAAAACGGTAACGGTGCGGTAACTCATTAAATAATGCGATACAATAATGCTTAAAAAGTGTGTAAAGTAAACTTAAATTATCTTTAAAATATATTTACAATTATATAACCAACATACATGTTTCACTTTTATTTTGTGACAGTAAAGCATCCCTACAGCTTCTGACAGTGAACATCAGTGTTTTACTGAAGCATGAGAAGTGTTATTAACATCAGTGTAAAGCACAGGGTTCAGTTATTAAACAACAGAAACTGAATAATCACATGTTAAAATACACACAGCTTAGTTTTCACTTTATGAATTAAATATATACTGATTCTTATTAAAGCTACAAAAGTTATTCAGCCGAGAGCAGCGTGTGATTTTCACAGTTACTGCAAGCCGCTGCGATATGCATATCGCGATATATATATACATTTGTGATATTTTGATGATTTCTATATATTGTGCAGCCCTACTGTGTTTTATCATGAATAAAACACCGCTATTGACCAATCAGAATCCAGGATTGTAGCTATCCGTCTTATAAAGTGTAATAAACGCATGTGTTTGTGTTTGGCAGGATAACGCGCTGGAGTTCGAGAAGCGCAGGAATATTCCCGTCAAATACAACCGAGAGCTCTGGAGCAAGACGAGTGAGTGCGCCGGCTTTACCGTGTGTTAATGACGTAAAACTGACCAACTCTTAATCTAAACCGTGTGTGTGTGTGTTTAACAGTGGAGGCGATGAAGAAGGTCGAAGTTATCAAGACCAAGCGCCAGGCTCGGTTTATCATCAACAGGTGAGCACATATTCACATCATATTCACATCTGTGTTTGCCTGGTTTTTCTGATATTTAGGGGCAATATTTTCATGCACGTTTTGGGATGTTGCATAAAAAAACCTGCCGAGATTCGCTTAAATTCTAAACATGTGCATAAACACTTATTCGATAAATGATAATGAGGTGCATGTCTCTTTAAATGGGGGGTGTTAAATGGCTGAGGGCAGAAATATGCTAATACGGGGAATATGCTAGTCTGTCAGTGATTTAATTCCTCCATGTGCTTGACATTTCCATAAACATTTCCATATTTGCGCAGGTTGAAGAAAGGCAAAGAGCTGGAGAAGGAGGCCGCCATCAGCGAAGTCAAGAAAAACATTCACCTCATCAAAGCTCCACACGCAGGTAACACACACTCCAGACGCAGGCTACACACACTCCACACGCAGGTAACACATTTACCGGCTACATTTTATGTAGCCGATATAACTGCACATGTTGCACTGAACTGTATTTTCCTTTTCAAAGTGATTCCAATCATATTTCAAGCAATTCAAAACCATCATGTTGAACAGTGCGCATCTGAAGCGTTTCAGCTGGAGGAAATAATACACTATTTATCAGCTTTAATATATCAGGCCAAATTTTCATATCGAGCCGATACCGATATATCGTGCATCCTTATCATAAATACTTGTTTTATTACCGGATGAAAGAATTACTGTTGTACTGGATCTGCATTTTTGACTGAATCTCAAGAGAATGATTCAATGACAAATATTTTTTTTAAGTCACTTGTCGCCACCTACTGGTGTAACGCTGTAGCTGGCGTAACGCTGTAGCTGGCGTATCGCTGTAGCTGGCGTATCGCTGGTGTAACGCTGTAGCTGGCGTAACGCTGTAACTGGCGTATCGCTGTAGCTGGCGTAACGCTGTAGCTGGCGTATCGCTGGTGTAACGCTGTAGCTGGCGTATCGCTGGTGTAACGCTGTAGCTGGCGTAACGCTGTAACTGGCGTATCGCTGGCGTATCGCTGTAGCTGGCGTATCGCTGGTGTAACGCTGTAGCTGGCGTATCGCTGGTGTAACGCTGTAGCTGGCGTAACGCTGTAACTGGCGTATCGCTGGCGTATCGCTGTAGCTGGCGTATCGCTGGCGTAACGCTGTAGCTGGCGTATCGCTGGTGTAACGCTGTAGCTGGCGTATCGCTGGTGTAACGCTGTAGCTGGCGTAACGCTGTAACTGGCGTATCGCTGGCGTAACGCTGTAGCTGGCGTATCGCTGGTGTAACGCTGTAGCTGGCGTATCGCTGGTGTAACGCTGTAGCTGGCGTATCGCTGGTGTAACGCTGTAGCTGGCGTATCGCTGGTGTAACGCTGTAGCTGGCGTATAGCTGGTGTAACGCTGTAGCTGGCGTATCGCTGGTGTAACGCTGTAGCTGGCGTATCGCTGGTGTAACGCTGTAGCTGGCGTATAGCTGGTGTAACGCTGTAGCTGGCGTATCGCTGGTGTAACGCTGTAGCTGGCGTATCGCTGGTGTAACGCTGTAGCTGGCGTATCGCTGGTGTAACGCTGTAGCTGGCGTATCGCTGGTGTAACGCTGTAGCTGGCGTATCGCTGGTGTAACGCTGTAGCTGGCGTATCGCTGGTGTAACGCTGTAGCTGGCGTATCGCTGGTGTAACGCTGTAGCTGGTGTAACGCTGTAGCTGGCGTATCGCTGGTGTAACGCTGTAGCTGGCGTATCGCTGGTGTAACGCTGTAGCTGGCGTATCGCTGGTGTAACGCTGTAGCTGGTGTAACGCTGTAGCTGGCGTATCGCTGGTGTAACGCTGTAGCTGGCGTATCGCTGGTGTAACGCTGTAGCTGGTGTAACGCTGTAGCTGGCGTATCGCTGGTGTAACGCTGTAGCTGGCGTATCGCTGGTGTAACGCTGTAGCTGGCGTATCGCTGGTGTAACGCTGTAGCTGGCGTATCGCTGGTGTAACGCTGTAGCTGGCGTATCGCTGGTGTAACGCTGTAGCTGGCGTATCGCTGGTGTAACGCTGTAGCTGGCGTATCGCTGGTGTAACGCTGTAGCTGGCGTATCGCTGGTGTAACGCTGTAGCTGGCGTATCGCTGGTGTAACGCTGTAGCTGGCGTATCGCTGGTGTAACGCTGTAGCTGGCGTATCGCTGGTGTAACGCTGTAGCTGGCGTATCGCTGGTGTAACGCTGTAGCTGGCGTATCGCTGGCGTAACGCTGTAGCTGGCGTATCGCTGGCGTAACGCTGTAGCTGGCGTATCGCTGGCGTAACGCTGTAGCTGGCGTATCGCTGGCGTAACGCTGTAGCTGGCGTATCGCTGGCGTAACGCTGTAGCTGGCGTATCGCTGGCGTATCGCTGTAGCTGGCGTATCGCTGGCGTATCGCTGTAGCAGGCGTATCGCTGGCGTAACGCTGTAGCTGGCGTATCGCTGGCGTAACGCTGTAGCTGGCGTATCGCTGGCGTAACGCTGTAGCTGGCGTATCGCTGGCGTAACGCTGTAGCTGGCGTATCGCTGGCGTAACGCTGTAGCTGGCGTATCGCTGGCGTAACGCTGTAGCTGGCGTATCGCTGGTGTAACGCTGTAGCTGGCGTATCGCTGGTGTAACGCTGTAGCTGGCGTATCGCTGGTGTAACGCTGTAGCTGGCGTATCGCTGGTGTAACGCTGTAGCTGGCGTATCGCTGGTGTAACGCTGTAGCTGGCGTATCGCTGGTGTAACGCTGTAGCTGGCGTATCGCTGGTGTAACGCTGTAGCTGGCGTAACGCTGGTGTAACGCTGTAGCTGGTGTAACGCTGTAGCTGGCGTAACGCTGTAGCTGGCGTATCGCTGGCGTAACGCTGTAGCTGGCGTATCGCTGGCGTAACGCTGTAGCTGGCGTATCGCTGGCGTAACGCTGTAGCTGGCGTATCGCTGGTGTAACGCTGTAGCTGGCGTAACGCTGTAGCTGGCGTATCGCTGGCGTAACGCTGTAGCTGGCGTAATGCTGTAGCTGGCGTATCGCTGGCGTAACGCTGTAGCTGGCGTAACGCTGTAGCTGGTGTAACGCTGTAGCTGGCGTATCGCTGGCGTAACGCTGTAACTGGCGTACACAGCATCACAATGGTGATTTACTTAGTTTTTTATCTCTACTGTAGACATCAGTGTTTATATCTGAACTATAACCCTTTACCCAGCACTTCTGTGATTATTTGAATGATTGTAAGACAGAAATAATGGTTCTGTGTGCTTAAAGACTTTTCATACCTTTACATGACAACTCTCCCTCTGAATCAGAACACAGATCTGAATGTTACGGTGTGGTTTTGTTTAATAGACCGAGCCGAATCTGTCATTTAGGACTGAGATCATGTGGTGTTTGAAGCGAGATCGCCATCTTTTAAAGATTAACATGCAGCTCGACGTCTGTTAAATGACACATCTGCCGTCTCTCTTCAGGTCAAGCCAAACAGCTGGAGGACAAGATGGTCCAGAAACTGGCAGAAGACGTGCACATGGATGAGTGACACCAACAACACTTTACTTCTGGACTTTCAGAAGCTTTCTGCGGAAATATTGAGAATCCTGATCTACATAAACGTGAATATTCATCAGAATCCAGGCGGTGTCGACGGGACTTACTTGCATGTTCCCTCTGGAAAAATCCTTCCTTTTGCTCTAGTGGCCGAAGATTATATTGGACATAAAGTTCTGTGTGTTGTAACTGTCAATATAACTGATCATCAACACTTCAACTCTATGGAATTTGTGCAAAATATTAATTCCAATAAAAAAAAACTTAAAAAACATTTTTTTTTCATATTTGTAAATGTCTAGTTGCAACCGAAATACAGAAAGTCATATATATATGAAGTTTAGTAAAGTGAAATCAACAGGAGCTAATTTAGCAGTTTCATAAATTGGACCATATTTCCATTTACTGAATAAATATCAATATGTGAGAATGTAGAAATGAAATTCTGAGTGTTTATATTCATTCTGACACCTGAGATCAAGAAAAGGAAGCAAAACCAGATGCAGAAAGTCCTATAAATGAAGTTTAATAAAGTAAAATCAACACGAACATAATTTTTTTTTTCCATAATTTTACAACAGACTAATTCCAAAACAAAGGAAAAAGCAAATTTAGCAGCTTCATAAAATGGTTCATATTTACAGTTACTAAATAAATGTCATTATGCGAGAATGTAGAAATGAAATTCTGAGAGATTATATTAATTCTGACACCTGAGATCAAGAATAGGAAGCAAAACCGGATATTAGACAAACAGAAATAAAATAAAAGTTTAAGGCAGGCAACAAATACACATTTTTAACACCGTGGCATAATTTACAGATGATTTGAATGATAAACATAATGAAACACTTTACACACGTTCAGTGTAAAATAAGGCGTCACATCACACAGTTATTGTTGCAAATTCAATAAAGCACAAATTATAAAAAACTTTTGCAAAATAAAAATATGAACCATAATTTTATCGATGGCTGCTTGCATCAGATGATCAGCCACATTTTTTTTATTTATTTTTTACTTTTTGTTATAAAATGATTTGTATTGAGTTTAGTGCACGATTAATACGGTAACCGTTGCATCATCACAGGGTTGTTTTGTGCTAATATAATTACAATAATATATGAACTAATGTACCATAATTTATGGAGATGATTTGCCAAAAAAAACTTATAAAACTACAGGTGAAACTTGAAAAATGAGAATATGGTGCAAACGTTCATTTATTTCAGTAATTCAACTTAAAAGGTGAAACTAATATATTATATAGACTCATTACATGCAAAGTGAGATATTTCAAGCCTTTATTTGTTATAATTTGATGATTACAGCTTATGAAAACCCCAAATTAAAAATCAGAATATTGTTAAAAGGTTTGCATAGCTATAATCCATAATCATCAAAACTATAACAAATGAAGGCTTGAAATATCTCACTTTGCATGTAATGAGTCTATATAATATTACTTTCACCTTTTAAGTTGAATTACTAAAATAAATGAACTTTTTTTGAGTTTCACCTGTAATGCACTCACTAAGGCATGACACTGAAAAAGAAACTTAAAATTAAGGCGGCACAAACACATACTTTTTTTCCTTTAACCAACTGGAAATGTGAAGACTTGGGTATTTGAGTTGACTAAACTTAAAAACGTTTTCATGCTGCATTACATTTTTAAGTTGAAACAACACTTTTTTCCCTATTCTGGTCCTGTTATACGTGTATAACCGGTGAGTGTTGCATCATCTGAGTGTGGTGGTGTGCTTCCTCACGAGGCTCTCGCAGGGCTTCCACACGCGGTACAGCTCCTGCAGGGTCCTGGCGTCCTCCGCGGCGTCGTGCGCGCCGTACGTCTCCCCCAGGAAGCGCTCCACGAGGAAGGGCTGGGAGTATTTCTGCAGCTGGAACATGTCTCTGCTCAGCGTCAGCGTGTCCACGCAGCCCGACACCACGCGCCGGAACTCCTCCAGCAGGGCGAACTCCTCCAGGACCCGCCGCAGGATCGGCCAGTCGAAGCGCCGGCTGTTGTGGCCCACCAGGAAGGGCCCGTTGAAGGTCCTGAGGAACGAGATGAAGTCGGCGAGGGCGCGTGCGTGTGGGACGGTGGGGACGGGACGCCGGTGGAAGAGCAGTGATTGGCCGGAGACCGTGAGACCCGTGACCTGGGACGCCCCGTCAGTGATGCTGCAGCGGGGCATGAGGTACGCGTTAAACGTCTGGGTCCCGCTGAGGGCCGACAGCTGCACGATGTCACACGCAGACGTGTCTGAGGACGGGGCAAAACACCATACCATTAATATCATACTTATTCTTTTTTTTTTCTTTTTTTTTTTTTTACAGTATTTTACTGTAGACTTAAATGCATTGTGTTTTAAACATAATATTTTGCACTGATAGTTAACCAATTCATTTTCTTTAGGCTTTATGGGATGGCGTTTTGATATATTTTATATATATTTTATACTTATAAATTTTTTTTTTACAGTATTTTACTGTAGAATTACATGCATTGTGCTTTTAAAAATGTTTTTATTATACTGTAGTTAACCAATTAATTTTCTTTAGGCATTAGCGGATGGCATTTTGATTTTATAATAATTTTTTTTTTTTTTTACAATATTTTACTGTAGAATTACATGCATTGTACGTTTAAAAATTATTTTCACTTATACTGTAGTTAATAACCAATTAATTTTCTTAAGGCATTATAGGATGGCATTTTGATATATTTTATATATATTTTATACTTATATAATAGTGCTGTCAAACGATTCAAATATTTAATAGCGATTAATCGCATTAATGTCATAGTTAACTCGCGATTAATCGCATTTAATCGCACATTATCTATTCTAAATGTCTCTTGATTTCTTTTTGTCCCATTAATTTTTTTCTTATTTTAATGCTCTTATGGAAAAGTGGATCGGCTTGCTTTGTGCAAATGTTTTTTATTGAAAACAACATTGGCATATACTGTGTTCAATTTCACACTAAAATATTCTCACTTGGAGCAAATAATCTCTCACACAATGTAACACTGTCCATCAATAAAAGGGTGAAATAAATACTGCCGAGGTCCTGATATTGACGAGGGGGCGGAGGATTCGCATCAGCTGTGTGTGTGTGTGTGTGTGTGTGTGTGTGCTTGGCCATCATCAAGTGGTGTTTCAGACTGGACGTGCTGCGATGATGATAGCTCAGTTCACAACGACAAAACACACAGATCACTTTGGTCTCGTCAATGGAACCATTTGGCAACTTTTTAAAAGTAAACTTTCCATTCAGAATCTTATTGGCATCCATTTCGGCGTCTCGCGCTCGTCATCCACTCAAAACTGGACGTTTTGAACGTTCCTATAACATTCAGAAATAACGTTTTTATAACTTAATGGGAATGTTATGAAAACGTTATAACCTAAAATTGTTAGCTGGGGAAGAGGAGAGATTTGCGATTGCACTGAACACGTTTTAAGTGCAGGCATATTCTCTGAGTGAGCCCAGAGAAAATTCTTACAAGAGCAGCGTGTATCTGAGAGCGCGCGACTCGAGCAGAGAGATTCGTGCTCGGCACATTATATTCCGCACGCGAGCAGAGAGATTCGCGCTCGCGCATCCGGCTCGCAAGCCCAAACAAGTGTGTGCGTCGTGCCTGTTGTTTTGTTTCCGGTCTAGCTAGATCCGCTTGCGCTTTCAAAACGTCCTCACGCGTCCTGTTGCAAAAGCATGTGAAAAAAAACTACACAGTTTGCTAGGCCAAAAAGACCGTTAATCGCGTGATAAAAAAATTAACGCCGTTAACATGGATTTACGTTAACGCCGTTAATAACGCGTTAACTGACAGCCCTATTATATATATATATTTTTTTTTTACAGTATTTTACTGTAGAATTACATGCATTGTAGGGCTGTAACGATACGCGATATAAAATCGAAATCGCGATACTCAGGTCCACGATCCTGTATCGCGATGTGAGAAGGCAGAATCGCGATCACACCCCTTCCAAATCCCAGAGTTATCCTTCCTGTCCAGAACCAGGGCTCGAATTTCGGCGCGGGATTGCGGGTATTGCGCATAAATTCTAATCATTCCCGCAGGTCTCCCATTTATAATGCGGGAAATTCCCGCAATCGTAATCCACACAGATTATAAAATCAAATCATTCTTTTAACAACTATCTGCCAGGCGCAATTTCACAAACAGCGTGAGTGTTCAGCGGTGCCGCGCGTCTTCTATCTCTTCTCTTAATGTGTTGTGTAAGGCAAGCATCAAGCGCTGCGGCGATAACACACACTCGCGTTTAGGAGTCGGGACCATAGACTGTAAGGTCGGGACATGACGGAATATTCACTTGCACAATCGGGCCAGCAGTGCATCGTGACTGAAGTCTTTTTAAGTCTTACCAGTTTAAACATTCAAGCGATTTTAAACTAATCAGTGCTCGCGCGCTCTCTGAGATTATTTTCTATGCGCACATTCATAGAAAATCCGCCTAAAAAACAGCTGGCCAGTAACTATTTTTCGCGGATTATATTGCTTTAACACGCAAAATTGTCAATTTCGGTCTTTGTGAGTAGGCTATACTCTAAACATAGTCGGTTTTGTCTTTAATAAGCATAAAACGAATGCCAGTATAATGAACAGGATCCGTGCACTAGCTCTTAAAGTGACGGCAGCCATATGTGTCTGTCATTAATTTTGTTGTCAAAACAACAAAAGATAGCTTTAAGTTAAAGGAATCAGGATTAATAGCCTATGTATTTAATTTATTCAGGACTAAAATACTACCCAGTGTTATTTTCCATTTGATTACTTTATTCAGTATCTGTATATGAATACTAGTGTTAGACCTATTCAAAAACTTTTCTCTTTATTTGTCTTTATTTGTATCTTTATTCTATTGTATTTATTTGTGCTACTTTTTTCAATTTAATTAAACAATTTAAATCAAGCTTCCTTGTGATGTGTAAATTCTTAACAACAATATTACCCCATTGTAAAAATGCAATGAGCGCAAACATTTAGGCAAGATAAATGTAATAATTTTGATTGGAAAAAATGCCCCCCTTTCTCCCCCTCAAACAAAAAAAATCCTCCCCATGAGAATCATCTAAAGGGGGGATCCTCCCCTTCCCCCCCCCCATTTTCCAAAACGAAATTCAGGGCCCTGAGAACTACCACAACTTTAAATTACTATTAGTATTATTTGAAGTTAACATTATAAAATACATAGACCTACACCACAAAACTAGTTGAGGGTAAATTTCAGCATTATGGACGTGAAATTTGCAGCCAAAACTTGAAATATAAATTCTCAGAAAGTGCATTAAATTAATCCTCAATTGACCGGCAACACGTCCAACATGCAGATGCATATCCTACGGCACCATCCCGAAATCAATTTAGTTGGAGTACAGAACACAGCCCAAAAGCAGCAGCCTACACTGCCTAGTATAGTTTAATAATTTGCATAGTTATTATTGTTCTTTGGTGTTTAGATTATACAGGTTTTTCCTAATGTTATTTAATAAAAATACCGGTATTTTTTTTCTTCTCTCAAAATCTCTTTTTTTCACCACAAGCCCCGCCCCCGTGATAGAATCGCGATACGAATCGAATCGTGGGTCAAAAATCGTGATACGAATCGAATCGTGGGTTTGGTGTATCGTTACAGCCCTAATGCATTGTGCTTTTAAAAATGTTTTTTATTATACTGTAGTTATTAACCAATTAATTTTTTTTAGGCATTAGCAGATGGCATTTTGATATATTTTATTCTTTTTTAATTTATTTATTTTTTTACAAATTTTTACTGTAGAATTACATGCATTGTACTTTAAAATGTATTTTTCACTTATACTGTAGTTAACCAATTGTTTTTCTTTAGGCATTAGAGGATGGCATTTTGATACTACTTTTTTTTTTTTTTTACAATATTTTACTGTGGAATACGGAAGAGGATTAGGGCCAGCAAAAATAAAAATAAAATAAAACCATCTCGAGATTAAAGTCATTATAATGCGAAATTAAACTCGTTAAATTTAGAGAGAAAAAAGTCGAAATACAATCTTGAGAATAAACTCATTAAATTTCGAGAATAAAGCCGTCGTGTTTCTAGAAAAAACTCGTTAAATTTCGAGAACAAAAACTCAAAATACAATCTTGACAATAAACTCATTAAATTTCGAGAATAAAGTCGAAATGAAATGTAGAGATTAAGGCATTGGATCGGTGTTCATTGCTTGGTGATAGAGGACATGGCAGAGTTGGTCACTTAGTCAAGCTGTATTTTAGACTTTCAGTAACAAAGAAATACTATCAACTTTAGCTAATTATGACAGAATAATAATTAGCATACGAACTTTAAAGAGAATTTGCTCTAATCCTCTTACGTACATTTTGTTTTATACTTTTTTTTCTTTCTTTTTTTTTACAATATTTTATTGTAGACTTACATGAGTTGTACTTTTAAAAATATTTTTCACTTATACTGTAGTTAACCAATTAATTTTCCTTAGGCATTAGCGGATGGCATTTTGATGTTTTATACTTTTTTTTTTTTTTACAATATTTTACTGTAGAATTTGATGCATTGTACTTTTAAATATATTTCCACTTATTTTTATTAGATATTATAATTAGTTTCTAATTAGTTTAAAGTATGAAAAATAGTCACCCAATATAGCTATATCTAATTATTATTGCCGGTTGTACATATCTATAGTTGTATATATATCACACACATACATACATACATATATATAGTCTATCATAACACGTTTTTACTTTCATATAATTTATTAATATTTATTCAATATATCCATCTATAAAAAGGAATTGATTATATAAATCATAATACATTTATCTGAGGCATATATGACATTATAGGCTTAATGTTCAACACATCTGCATAATCATTATATACAGGTGAAACGAGTTTTGATGATTATGGCTTACAGATATGAAAACCTTTTCACAATATTCTAATTTTGACTTTGGGGTTTTCATAAGCTGTAAACCATAATCATCAAAATTATAACAAATAAAGGCTTGAAATATCTCACTTTGCATGTAATGAGTCTATATAATATATTAATTTCACCTTTTAAGTTGAATTACTGAAATAAATGAACTTTTGCACGATATTCTCATTTTTCGAGTTTCACCTGTAAAGCTTAACAGATTATTGATCACATGAAAGTGACACCTGTGTAGTCTAATAATGGCAAACAAACATCATATGATCCTGTAAAGCTGTAGAAGTGTGTGTGTGTGTGTGTCTGTGTGTGTGTGTGTGTGTGAGAGAGAGTTATACCCAGTCCAGTGGTTTCCAGGTCAAAAAACACCGGCGTCGCTTCGTCGACTCTCATGGCTTTATCTGTCGAAAACCATTACAGTTCATTACGCTTTATTAGTGTTGTTGCTAAAGTTTCATCTTGTGTCACTGCTGTTCTTTGGTTAGCATAGTGAATCTCGGTGACACAAACAACAGCCTTTAAAACCTTTTAATCATACAACAGAGCTTTAGTTTGAAACATATTGAACAAACATAAAAGGAGAGAACACGCGAACTCACCGCTCGGGCTCGCGCTCCACCGGAACAACCTTAGCAGCGCTCGTATCAGTCCCGTGACCGCGCTTATCAACCACATGACCAGATCGATCAGCGATAGTTTGGGTTTATTTCCCGCAGATTCTACGCGTTTAGACTCTTTCATTTCGTCGTCTCGGATCGGTTTCGTTTCTCCTGAATCTCCTCAGCGATCACATTCGCTTTGTATGAACACTGATGACGAATCCATGCGCAATGAACGCTCCGCCCTCACGAGGACGGCAATGACTGCAAACGCTCACCATGGCAACTGAAGCTTGAATGTTCTTTGTTTGTTTCCACAGTTGTTTCTTAAGATTCTGCTGTTTGTTACCACAATGTTATTACCGCGTTTTCATAAAAAACAAACTTGTAGAAACGAGACCACGCAACCAGAGACCATTTACGCAACGCATTGTGATTTTTCTGTAGTAAAACTATGTTTATTATAATAAACCTAAAATAATCTGACAATTTTAACGTGTAAGCAGCCAGTGCGGTGCCAGTACATTATTTTAAGTCAATTTCAATCAAGGAGAAATTGGTTTTATTAAAACTTAAGCTTCACAGTTAAATCTAATGCTGTTCTGCCCAGCAACAGAACAGACACGCCCACTTCTGACGTGTGACTGGAGTTCTTGTGACCGACGTTGGAAAAAACATCTGTAAACGTAATAGCATCTACTTTACCTTGTTTCTATTGATTTTTAATTGTATTTTATAATGAACTGTCTGGAAATAACATAAAAGTTACAGAAATACAGGGTCTGACGTGTTAGAGAATGGCAAGCTAGTTCAGAATGGACTATTCTTTTCAAGGTTGTTATTATACATTTATTACAATGTAATTATATATTTATTACAATGTAATTATACATTGTTTACAGTGTTATTATACATTTATTCATGGCCGTTGGAAGCAAAAAAAAAAAGTGGGTGGGTCCTCCCCCAGAAAATGTTACTGGAGTAAATGCCATTTCATGTATACTGGTGCCCAGTGGTTAAAGTGGGATTTGGCAGGTGGGGGAACCCTCAAATTTTGTGTAGGTGCAACAGGGAAAAATGACTCACCGCGGGACAACATATTGAGTATCGTGGTATAGCAATACTTTTTGGGTCAAGAGTGTCGCTGTGGCACCAAGTATCACTCATTTACTTGATATTTTAATGGTTTTATTTAGGCCCATCTACACTGATATGATGACGATACTATGTTAAAATTGCTTAACACTGGGACAAAAATTGAGCCTTGGCACTGTAGCCACGCCAGCCCACATTATCATCCCCAGCCCCACCCACAGACATGTGCATTAAAATGTGAGGTATTTTGATTTCTCTGACCTGCACATGTGCAATTTAAGACTTTTGAAGGCCAAAAAAAAAAAGGATAATAAATAGCTTTAAAACCTTCTCTCTCCTCATCTAAATCTTTCTTTTTCTCTCAGTCTCCTTATCCTGGCCTATTTCTTCCCCTCCTAAAGCTGAACTTTGACTGATAGTCTTTTCGTCTGTGTTAGTGAAGAAAGTAACATACTGATAATTATGTTTTATGAATCAATTTCTTAAACAAGTTAATTTACTCAAGGCTACCAGGTAAGTATTGCCAATAGGAACCTTTTACAAGCTTTTGATTGGCTTTCTAAAAATATTAAAGACCTAGTTGACTCTCTGAATCTCACTCAACTTATTGACACTCCAACTCGTATAAACCCGAAAAATCATAGCAAATCAACACTGTTGGATGTCATTTTTACAAACAGACCACATGAATACACATCGACTGCTGTTTTTTGCAATGATGTCAGTGATCACTGTGCGATTGCTTGTATAAGAGACACAAAACTACCTAAACATAAACCTCGCTATATTTTTAAAAGGTGTTTTAAACGTTTAAATGAACAGGCTTTTATTCATGATTTGTCCAACTGTAACTTGGAGACTGTCTGTCTGATACCTGATGTGGAACATGCTTGGGAATATTTTCACAATGCCTTTTCAGCTATTTGTAATAAGCATGCTCCTTTAAAGAAATATAGGATTAGTGGGAGGAATAACCCATGGTTTACTGAAGAGTTAAGCTTAATGATCAGAGAAAGAAATGTTGCATGGGGCAAATTCTACTGAAAATAGATTTTAAGAAATAAATGCACAAGCATGACTAGAAAAGAAAAATCAGATTACTATTTAAAAAATGTGTCTGAAAATCTTAACAACCCCTCTAAATTCTGGAAGCAAATAAAGTCTTTGTCTGGTTCAAATTCTTCTTCAGGTCTCCCGAAACATATTTTTGTAAATTCAGTTGAAATTAAAAACAAAATTGATATAATTGGACAGTTTAACAATCACTTTGTATCAGCTGGCTGTATTTCTAATGAATCTATCTCAAGTTATCATTGCTCTGACTCTCGCTCTGAAGCACCATCGGAAACTTTTGTTTTTAGACCCATTTTAAAAGAAGATGTCTGTACTGCTCTTAAAGCTATTGACCAAAAAAAAATCAGCAGGACCAGACAATCTAGAACCTTTCCTGCTGAAGGTTGCAGCTGAAATAATAGGTAAGCCTATAGCATATCTTTTTAATTGTAGTTTGCAGACAAGTTCAATTCCCAAATTATGGAAAGCAGCCTGTGTACTTCTTTTGTTAAAGGGTGGCGACCCCTCAGATCTTCACAATTATAGGCCAATCTCCAAACTCGCTATTCTTGCAAATATTTTTGAAGCTCAAGTAAACTGGCAATTGAAAGAATACTGGGCAGAGCACAACATTTTAACTGATGTACAGTCAGGCTTTAGAGCTGGACACAGCACTGTTACAGCAACCTTGTTGCTATTAAATGATATTATAAAAGCCTTGAATAAAAAACAACACTGCACTACCTTATTTGTGGATCTGTCCAAAGCTTTTGACTCTGTTGACCATGAGCTATTGCTAAATAGACTAAGTGACATTGGATTAGGAAACACAGCTATCAATTGGTTCAAAAACTATCTTACGGAACGAACACAATGTGTTTCTATAGATGGTCTTAAATCAGACTTTTTAGAGATTTCCAAGGGTGTTCCTCAAGGTTCGATTTTAGGTCCTATTTTATTCATAAATAATATTGGAAAGGATGTGCAAACTGCTAAACTACACCTTTATGCAGATGATACTGTGATATATTCACTGAACCAAGCTATAAATCACCTTCAGTTAGCCTTTCAACAGTTACAATTCTCACTACATGGCCTCAAGTTAGTGCTAAATACTAAGAAAACCAAATCTATGACGTTTTCAAGGGCTCGTTCCCAATCCCAAGATAATATAACTATTAACACGCTAAAGGGGGACTTGATTGAAAATGTCTCATCATATAAGTATTTAGGTTTTTTTTCTGGACAACAAACTTTCTTTTAAAGTTCATGTTGAAACGCTTGTAAAAAAAGCTGAAACTAAGGCTGGGGTTTTACTTTAGGAATAAGGCTTGTTTTAATCTGTTAGCTAGAAAAAAACTTGTGCAGGCTACCTTTTTGAGTGTTTTGGACTGGTGATATTGTCTACATGCATACTGCCTCTAGTACTCTTCAACTTTGAGATTCGGTGTATCATATAGTGCTCTACGTTTTTTAACTAACTCTGGTTTCGGTACTCATCATTGTACGCTGTATGAACTGGTAGTCTGGCCGTCACTAAGTCTACGTAGACAACTTCATTTGCATATTTTTCTATACAAGGCCATGTTGGGTAAATTGCCGTCATATCTATGTAATCTCCTGTTGAAAAATTCCATAGAGATAAACACTAGATGTCGCCTTGGCTACGGCAGTTCATTGGAACGAATGCGTCAATAGAGCCGCCATCTTGAAACAGGGGAACCCCTCATCAGCGTCAATGTAGGAAAAGGTCTAACGGAAATAAAATCACCATAAATCGTCATGAATGCGATTTTCTAGTTGTTTTGGTTCGTTCCAACGGTCAGACATGTATTTATTATAGAGTCCAGAGAAATTTTTAAAAAATTACAAAATTTCACAATCTTGTAAAATGTAATCCCTTGCTGTCTGGTTTTTAGATTTCGTTCGTGTGAACATCCATACGCAGCACAAAAGTCCGGCATCATCCATGAATTCAGCGTTACCCAGCTACTTCCTATGACAAGACCCCTGTTCCAAGATGGCGGCGGTTTTGACGCATGTTTAGAACATAGACAGTAAAAGAAATGGACACAGCGACCCCGTTGATTTCAAATATGGGCGCTCACTTCCTGATAGCCAAGCGTTCTGCGCAGGCTCAAACTGAACTTGACGACGTAGTTGTCACGTGAGCAACCGTTCTGACCTTCTAGTAGCTGTGCCGGGACAAATCTGAATTGAAATCTAAAACAAATCTGTTGTTGAAATATTGTTTCCCGTTGCTTTTATGAACTCTCTATCTATGGGCTTCTCCCTTGACTTTATGCCTCCATGTCCACCCGATTGCCTCATAGACAGTAAACGATTGCCTAGGAGCTTCTACTTCTGTCTATACGGTAATTTCTCTACTGTGCCGTGGTTATGACGCAATCGTTAGCCTATTTTTACAAGAATGGCTTCTACGGGGCCATAACGTAAGATACAAAGTAATGGAGCCTTTTATCCATTGTCCCGTTTCTTGAGAAATAAATAATGGACAAATGGACGCCTCAGATGTAAAGTTATTCGCTGTCAAAGTGACGCCAAAATGAATGGGAGTCAATGGGATGCTAACAGCAGGGGATAGCCAGCTACAATGGCGGCCCCCGGAGGCAGCTTCAACTTCCGGCTGATGGATTACCCCCTTGGTTTAGAACCCCAAGGCGACATCTAGTGTTTATATCTATG